CAACAAACTTACATGCAAACAGTACATTTTCTAAGTGCTGCATTTGAATAAAAAACTATATTTCATACGTGTTTTACCAATAGGAACAATGGCAAAGGCCTTAGAAATCACAATCAACGTCCGAATAAGGGGGCGGGTGGGTCCTGGTCCTGGTCCTGGTCCTGGTCCCGGGGCCGGGTGGGTCCTGGTCCTGGTCCCTGGTCCCGGGGCCGGGTGGGTCCTGGTCCTGGTCCTGGTCCCGGGGCGGGTGGGTCCTGGTCCTGGTCCTGGTCCCGGGGCCGGGTGGGTCCTGGTCCTGGTCCTGGTCCCGGGGGCGGGTGGGTCCTGGTCCTGGTCCTGGTCCCGGGGGCGGGTGGGTCCTGGTCCTGGTCCTGGTCCTGGTCCCGGGGGCGGGTCTGTCCTCGCGCTTTACTGTGGGGAGGTTTAAGGTTAAAGTCGCGAGCCTCCATGAGCCAGTGTGTGAATCAGAATCGGAGCCGTAGAGTCTCAGCGCGGCTCATTCCAGTTTAATGCTTCTTTTCTTCTTCTTTCTCCCTAAAACTGTTCCTCGGACGAACTTGTACGAACTCTCCAGAACTGTGCTGCACACACTCTGTTGTTCTCACGATCCTGTCGCAGTAACATGACGTCAGCGCAGAGTCGAGCAGCTGAAGCACAACAGGTCACGTGTGTTTCTGTTTATTCACAACAGTCACGTGATTCGTGTCGCTCCGACCCTGCGCCACAAACATTTTAGGATTTTAGGACTAATGTAACGTCATGGGCAGAAGCAACGTCATGACGTCACATTTTCTCCAAACTGTTTGATTCGCTCCGACTCACCGCGCTCACACCAAACACACCACTCAAATAAAGTGATATGAGACATTTAACGTGATAAAAATATGTCTATGCAGATACACGTTACATTTGAAACTAAATATTAAACATATGGCCTAATACAAAATAACCACTTTATCATTTTTTTTCTTCTTCTTTTATCTAGGTGGTTAGAGAGTGCGACGCTCTTGCGCCCCCTATCGACCAGCCGCCACTGCACTTCTGTGATTCAACACGATTCAGTCAAAATAAACACTAAAAGTCTTTGTTAAACTTCTTCTTGTGTAAAGTTCAAATGAAACACAAACAGTGAAAAAGTCAAATGTGTCGCACAAACGAGTTTCTTCGTCTGAACAAACAACAAAACTGAAACTGGGACTGAATCATCAAATTTGACCTGAGGTGGGATTTACATGTCGTGACTTGGACTCGAGTCGGACTTGAGTCACTATTTTTAGGACTTGAGACTTGACTTGATAAAACAGACAAAGACTTGGAACTGGAGTCGGACTTGAGGCCTGTGACTTGAAGACCTGAGGTTTAGACGAGTCGACAGATGAAAAGTTCTTAAACTCTTCAATCTGAATTCTTTCGGTTTCTGTTTTGACCAGAATAATTCACACTTGTACAGATTTTTAAAACAGAAAAATTTACATTTCTACAACTCTGTTATTATTCATATAAATATTCTTAAAAACACGTTGTGTTGCATTTTTTGTCTGAAAAACGTTCTGTAAATAAAGTTTGACTGATCGATGTATAAATATACCAGGACTTTAAAAATTAATTAACAGTTAAGTTTGAAAATGACATAAACAGAACAAATCTAACACATATTTGGTACTTTTTTGGTTTAAAGACTTGAAATGACTTGAAGCTCAAAGCAGACGACTTGGACTTGACTTGGACTCGTGGGCCAGTGACTCGGTGCCTCGTCTGCTGTTTTTTAAACTTTAGATCGATGTGTGTGTCGACGTTTGTCAGATAGAACAGCTGAACTCACTCGTGACTCGTTCTTTTACAAAACAAATCAAATATTGTTGAGAAAGTTCTTCCCGTGTCTGTAGCAGAAGTTTCATAAATGTGTGACACTTGTCGGTTGCTTCACTCTTCAGTCTTCAGCTCGATGGGTTTAAGTCTGGACTCTGAGCTGCTGCTCCAGGTTTTCAAACTTTACCGTCTTGTTCTTTTTTCCTGAGCGTCGACTTGTGTTTTGTTCTTTTATCTTTTTTTTTTTTTTTTTCTGTCTGTTCAGTTTTTTCCTTTGGACCATTTCAAACTCTTCACTGGACTCGCACGACTTGAGTTTTAATAAATAACTTGTGGACGACCAGACTCACATATTTTGAAACTGTCCCAAAGTAAAACATTTCTGGATGTTAAAGATTCTACAAAACATTTAGTCTGCGGACGTCTCGTTGGACTGATCTTTTTGCTCGATGTTTCCTGTGATCAGTGTTTTCTGCTGCATTTTCTTCTGACGACTGCAAGAAAAACGATCTCGATCTGCGACTGAAACCTGAAACACGACACTGAACAGTGGATGTAAAAAAATCAGACAAGTTTATAGAAAGGAAGTGTTAACGGCTCAACTACGACTCAGGGACTTTAGAAAACAGGTGGAGTCCAGTGATCGACTTTTTCAAATAAAACACTTACGCCCAACAAGCTTTATTTGTTTTAATTTTTTTTTTAAACAATTGTTTTTCTTTTTTTTCTTCTAGAAGTGGGGAAAAAAAAGAAAATAAATAAATAGTGTGATGGTTCGGTCTCAGGACACTGCAGATCAATTGATTTGTGGCAATAAAAGTAAAAAAACAAAAAAAACAGAAACAGTTCAGGGAAAAGTCTATGGAGTAAGAAGCTGTCAAAAATATTCATGCGCATAAAATAGAAATCCGTGTGTATTTGGCTGTAGTTGTGCATAAAATAAATATTTGTAAACTCTCAAATGAGTCCAGTCGTACATAAAATATATTGTGTGTATTTTATCCATCAGAATACGAATTGAAAAATTACAACGTCATGAATTACAATCACCAAATGAAAATTTACGATTACACTTTCATCAGTACGAATACGAATTCACAGACGGAACTTTACTGTCAAAAATACGTCATCACTTCACAGACATTATTCATCGAGCAGAAGAAACATCGATCAAGATCAAGACTGAGCAGCTCAAGTTTGTATCAGAGTAAAAACAGAGTAAAAGCACAAGAAGAAACAACAGAACAACAAGTGGGTTCATTCAAATCTATTGTAAAAATGTCTTGAATTCGGGAACCGAACGCTGCTGTATAATATTGTGTAGAAACACCTCCTCTTGAACGGGAAATTGCACCGATATGTTAGAAAACATAGTGGAGCCAGTTGGAAACATCAGACGTAACATTATCCCAGGACTAATTAACAAATATCAGGTTCTCTGTATGTTTAGATTAAAACATTCACGACTACAGCCACAGCGAACATCAGCCAGTCTGAACCTTCAGCTGCATTTCTCGCATGAAATGCCACCAACACTTCCTCTGGACGCTGAAATGTCCCAGTTTACACCAAACACGACCAAACTGTCCTGGTTACAGACGTCACAGCCAATGAAATGTTACACATTACAGTTTAATGCAGCTTCAGCATCAATTAATGTTCGTGTTTACAGGCAACACCTTGGTATGTTTACAGTATTTACCGTAAGTTTAACGTCACCGTGACGTGGATGGATTTGCTCATTATAACCCATTTATAACTCATGTATAACCCATTATAATCTGTATAACCCATTATAACTGTATAACCCATTATAACTCATGTATAACCCATTATAACTCATGTATACCCATTATAACTCATGTATAACCCATTATAACTCATCCCATTATAACTCATGTAACCCATTATAACTCATGTATACCATTATAACATGTATAACCCATTATAACTCATGTATAACCCATTATAACTCATGTATAACCCACTATAACTCATGAAAAACCCATTGTCTGAAATGCAGCTGAAGGTTCAGACTGACTGATGCTCGCTGTGGCTGTAGTCGTGAATGTTTTAATCTAAACCTACAGAGAACCTGATATTTGTTAATGATCCTGGGATAACGTTACGTCGGATGTTTCCAACTGGCTCCACTATGTTTTCTAACATATAGGTGCAATTTCCCGTTCAGAGGAGGTGTTTCTACACAATATTACACAGCAGCGTTCGGTTCCCGAATTCAAGACATTTTTACAATAGATTTTAATGAACCCACTTGTTGTTCTGTTGTAGCTTCTTGTGCTTTTACTCTGTTTTTACTCTGATACAAACTTGAGCTGCTCAGTCTTGATCTTGATCGATGTTTCTTCTGCTCGATGGATAAAGTCTGTGAAGTGATGACGTATTTTTGACAGTAAAGTTCCGTCTGTGAATTCGTATTCGTACTGATGAAAGCATAATCGTAAATTTTCATTTGGTGATTGTAATTCATGATGTTGTAATTTTTCAATTCGTATTCTGATGGATAAAATACACACAATATATTTTATGTACGACTGGACTCATTTGAGAGTTTACAAATATTTATTTTATGCGCAACTACAGCCAAATACGCACGGATTTCTATTTTATGCGCACGAATATTTTTGACAGCTTCTTACTCCATAAAAGTCAACGAAATATTTTTAAAGACCAAACTAAAAGGAGTTGAGAGATAAAATCTGGGACTTTTCCTGTTGGAAAGTTTGAACCTCCCGGATTTTTTTCAGTCCAATGTGAACTGGTCGAGCGTTTGGAGATTTGTCGTGGAAAGATCCAGTTCACCAGATCAAGACGTTTTAACTGTGACTCAAACAAAACCTCAACACTTTAAAACGTAGAACATTTTCTCTTTTGTCGACGTTTAAAAACTGCAGAGTCCAGAGGATTTGACAGGATCATCGCACGAGCTTTGAACAGGTTTATATCTTCACTCTGCAGATGTTTCTCTGCTTCACGTCTCGTTCTGTTTCAGGTTCTGGTCGGTGTGAGTTTGTTTGTTGGTTGGTTTGTTCCTCTGGGTCGAGTCGTGTTTGTAAATGTGAAGGTGTGACTCAACTGAAAAGGTAAAAAAATTCAAATAAAATAAACTAAACTAAACCAGGTCCAAACCAGATCTGCACAAACGTTAAGAGAAAGACAAGAACAAGAACCAGGGGCTTTTTTTCTTTATGAAAGGTTTCTCCAGTGAAAAGTCCGTTCTGTGGGTTCCTCTGCGGGTTCTTCAGAAGTAGCTCTGCAGAGGTTCTCCGAGGACGTTCTCCATCTCCTGCACCACCCTCTGCACCTCCTTCTCCACCTCCTCACTCTCATCTGAAAAACACAGACTTTAGTTCATCTTCAGTCCTGGTTTGGTCCTGGTTCAGTTCTGGTTCAGTTCTTCTCCTTGTACATTTATATTATTCGGTTTTATTTCACTCGTGTCTCTTTCTCTCTCAGTATTTGTAGTATTTGTAGTATTTGTGGTATCTGTAGTAAATGCAGTATTTGTAGTATTTGCAGTATTTGTAGTATTTGTAGTATTTGTGGTATTTGTAGTATTTGTAGTATTTGTAGTATTTGTAGTATCTGTAGTATTTGTAGTAAATGCAGTATTTGTAGTATTTGTAGTATTTGCAGTATTTGTAGTATTTGTAGTATTTGTAGTATTTGTAGTATCTGTAGTATTTGTAGTAAATGCAGTATTTGTAGTATTTGTAGTATTTGCAGTATTTGTAGTATTTGTAGTATTTGTAGTATTTGTAGTATTTGTAGTATTTGTGGTATTTGTAGTATTTTAGTATTTGTAGTATTTGTAGTATCTGTAGTATTTGTAGTAAATGCAGTATTTGTAGTATTTGTAGTATTTGTAGTATTGTAGTATCTGTAGTATTTGTAGTAAATGCAGTATTTGTAGTATTTGTAGTATTTGTAGTATTTGTAGTATTTGTAGTAATTGTAGTATTTGTAGTATTTGTAGTATTTGTAGTATTGTAGTAGTATCTGTAGTATTTGTAGTAGTATTGTAGTATTTGTAGTATTTTGTAGTATTTGTAGTATCTGTAGTATCTGTAGTATCTGTAGTATTTTGTAGTAAATGCAGTATTTGTAGTATTTGTAGTATTTTGTAGTATTTGTAGTATCTATGTAGTATTGTAGTATTTTGTATTAAATTTGTAGTATTTGTAGTATTTGTAGTATTTGTAGTATCTGTAGTATCTGTAGTATTTGTAGTATTTGTAGTATCTGTAGTATTTGTAGTAAATGCAGTATTTGTAGTATTTGTAGTATTTGTAGTATCTGTAGTATCTGTAGTATTTGTAGGTATTTGTAGTATTTGTAGTATTTGTAGTATTTGTAGTATCTGTAGTATTTGTAGTAAATGCAGTATTTGTAGTATTTGTAGTATTTGTAGTATCTGTAGTATCTGTAGTATTTGTAGTATCTGGAGTATTTGTAGTATTTGTAGTAAATGCAGTATTTGTAGTATTTGTAGTATCTGCAGTATTGTAGTTTGTAGTATTTGCAGTATCTGTAGTATTTGTAGTATTTGTAGTATTTGCAGTATTTGTAGTATTTGTAGTATTTGTAGTATCTGTAGTATTTGTAGTATTTGTAGTATTTGTAGTATTTGTAGTATTTGTAGTATTTGTAGTATCTGTAGTATTTGTAGTATTTGTAGTATTTGTAGTATTTGTAGTATCTGTAGTATCTGTAGTATTTGTAGTATTTGTAGTATCTGTAGTATTTGTAGTATTTGTATATTGTAGTATTTGTAGTATTTGTAGTATTTGTAGTATCTGTAGTATCTGTAGTATTTGTAGTATTTGTAGTATTTGTAGTATCTGTAGTATTTGTAGTATTTGTAGTATTTGTAGTATTTGTAGTATTTGTAGTATCTTGTAGTATCTTGTAGTATTTGTAGTATTTGTAGTATTTGTAGTATTTGTAGTATTTGTAGTATCTGTAGTATTTGTAGTATTTGTAGTATTTGTAGTATTTGTAGTATTTGTAGTATTTGTAGTATTTGTAGTATTTGTAGTATTTGTAGTATTTGCAGTATTTGTAGTATTTGTAGTATTTGTAGTATTTGTAGTATTTGTAGTATTTGTAGTATTTGCAGTATTTGTAGTATTTGTAGTATCTGCAGTACTGTGAGGACTCACCTTCCATGAGCTCGGCGAGGAAAGGCACCGTCTCCGGGAGCAGCAGCAGATAATTCTCTCGGAGTTTGGAACAAAGCTCCAGAAGAACCGACAGAGCCGAGAACCGGACCTGGAACAAACACGAGACTGAACCAGGACCGGACCAGGACCGGACCAGGACCGGACCAGGACCGGACCAGGACCGGACCGGACCAGGACCGGACCTAAAGCAGGACATTCTACATAAATTCTACGGAGACCAAATGCCCCTGAGTGGAAATGTAGCAGTAGTAGTATTCATGTGTGTATTCATGTGTGTTTTCATGTGTGTTTTCATGTGTGTACTTTGGAATCTGGGTGCCCCGTCTTGAGCAGTAGAAGTAGTAGCAGTATTAGTAGTAGTAGTAGTAGTAGTTGCAGTATTCGTAGAACCTCGGGGTGCGGGTGTCTTCAGTAGTATTAGCAGTAGTATTTGTAGTAGTATTTGTAGTAGTATTTGTAGTATTTGTAGTATTTGTAGTACCTCGGGGTGCGGGTGTCTTCAGTAGTATTAGTAGTATTTGTAGTAGTATTTGTAGTAGTATTTGTAGTATTTGTAGTACCTCGGGGTGCGGGTGTCTTCAGTAGTATTAGCAGTAGTACTTGTAGTAGTATTTGTAGTAGTATTTGTAGTATTTGTAGTACCTCGGGGTCCGGGTGTCTTCAGTAGTATTTGTAGTATTTGTAGTATTTGTAGTACCTCGGGGTCCGGGTGTCTTCAGTAGTATTTGTAGTAGTATTTGTAGTATTTGTAGTATTTGTAGTACCTCGGGGTCCGGGTGTCTTCAGTAGTATTTGTAGTAGTATTTGTAGTAGTATTAGTAGTATTTGTAGTAGTATTTGTAGTATTTGTAGTAGTTTTTGTAGTACCTCGGGGTCCGGGTGTCTTCAGTAGTATTTGTAGTAGTATTAGTAGTATTAGTAGTATTTGTAGTATTTGTAGTAGTATTTGTAGTAGTATTGTAGTAGTATTTGTAGTATTTGTAGTACCTCGGGGTCCGGGTGTCTTCAGTAGTATTAGCAGTAGTATTTGTAGTAGTATTTGTAGTATTTGTAGTATTTGTAGTACCTCGGGGTCCGGGTGTCTTCAGTAGTATTTGTAGTAGTATTAGCAGTAGTATTTGTAGTAGTATTTGTAGTAGTATTTGTAGTATTTGTAGTAGTTGTAGTACCTCGGGGTCCGGGTGTCTTCAGTAGTATTAGTAGTTTTGTAGTAGTAGTTTGTAGTAGTATTTGTAGTAGTATTTTGTAGTAGTAGTTTGTAGTAGTTTTGTAGTATTTGTAGTACCTCGGGGTCCGGGTGTCTTCAGTAGTATTAGCAGTAGTATTTGTAGTAGTATTTGTAGTATTTTGTAGTATTTGTAGTAGTATAGTAGTACCTCGGGGTCGGCGGGTGTCTTCAGTAGTATTAGCAGTAAGTATTAGTAAGTAGTATTTGTAGTAGTATTTGTAGTATTTGTAGTATTTGTAGTAGTTGTAGTACCTCGGGGTCCGGGTGTCTTCAGTAGTATAGCAGTAGTATTAGCAGTAGTATTTGTAGTAGTATTTTTTGTAGTAGTTGTAGTATTTGTAGTAGTATTAGCAGTTGTAGTATTTGTAGTATTTGTAGTCCTCGGGTCCAGTCCGGGTGTCTTCAGTAGTATTAGCAGTAGTATTAGCAGTAGTAGTAGTAGTATTTAGTAGTAGTAGTTTGTAGTATTTGTAGTATTTGTAGTATTTGTAGTACCTCGGGGTCCGGGTGTCTTCAGTAGTATTAGCAGTAGTATTTGTAGTAGTATTTGTAGTAGTAGTAGTAGTATTTGTAGTACCTCGTATTTTCAGTAGTAGTATTTGTAGTACTCGGGGTCCGGTGTCTTTTCAGTAGTATTAGCAGTAGTATTTGTAGTAGTATTTGTAGTATTTTGTAGTAGTTTTTGTAGTAGTTGTAGTACCTCGGGGTCCGGGTGTCTTCAGTAGTATTAGCAGTAGTATTTGTAGTAGTATTTGTAGTAGTATTTGTAGTATTTGTAGTACCTCGGGGTCCGGGTGTCTTCAGTAGTATTAGCAGTAGTATTTGTAGTAGTAGTAGTATTTGTAGTAGTTTTTGTAGTATTTGTAGTAGTATTTGTAGTAGTTGTAGTACCTCGGGGTCCGGGTGTCTTCAGTAGTATTAGCAGTAGTATTTGTAGTAGTATTTGTAGTAGTTTAGTAGTATTTGTAGTATTTGTAGTACCTCGGGGTCCGGGTGTCTTCAGTAGTATTAGCAGTAGTATTTGTAGTAGTATTTGTAGTATTTGTAGTAGTATTTGTAGTACCTCGGGGTCCGGGTGTCTGGTCTTGAGCAGGACCTGGTAGTTGAGGTTTTTCCACTGAGAGTCGTCGGCCAGAGCCACAGCGAACTGCCCCAAACACGGAACCAAACTCTGGGACAATCTGAGCCGGAACTGCCCCTGACCTCCAGACGTGTTCTCCAACTGACGAGAGGACGAGGACAGAGGACGAGAGGACAGAGGACGAGAGGACAGAGGACGAGAGGACGAGAGGACGAGAGGACAGAGGACGAGAGGACGAGAGGACGAGAGGACGAGAGACGAGAGGACAGAGAGAGACGAGGGACAGAGGACAGAGGACGAGGACGAGACGAGGACAGACAGAGGACAGAGGACGAGGACGAGGACGAGAGGACGAGAGGACGAGGACAGAGGACACAGAGGACGAGGACAGGAGGACGAGAGGACGAGAGGACGAGAGGACGAGGACAGAGACAGAGAGACAGAGGACAGAGGACAGAGGACAAGAGGACAGAGAGGACAGAGGGACAGAGAGGACAGAGGGACAGAGGACAGAGGACGAGAGGACGAGAGAGACGAGGGACGAGGAGAGAGGACGAGGAGGACAGAGAGGACAGAGGACAGAGGACGAGAGGACAGAGGACGAGAGGACAGAGGACAGAGGACGAGAGGACAGAGGACGAGAGGACGAGAGGGACAGAGGACAGAGGACAGAGGACAGAGGACAGAGGACAGAGGACAGAGGACGAGAGGACGAGAGGACAGAGGAACGAGGAGAGGACGAGAGACAGAGGACGAGAGGGTGAGAGGACAGAGGACGAGAGGACGAGAGGACGAGGACGAGAGGACGAGAGGACGAGAGGGACGAGAGGACAGACAGGACGAGAAGAGGACGAGAGGACGAGAGAGACGAGAGGACGAGAGGACAAGAGGACAGAGAGGACAGAGGACGAGAGAGGACGAGAGGACGAGAGACGAGAGGACAGAGGACAGAGGACGAGAGGACGAGAGGACGAGAGGACGAGAGGACAGAGGACAGGACAGAGAGAGACAGAGGACGAGAGGACGAGGAGAGGACGAGAGGACGAGGAGAGGACAGAGGACGAGGACAGAGAGACAGAGGAGAGGACAGAGGAGAGGACAGAGGACAGAGGACAGAGGACAGAGGACAGAGGACAGAGGACAGAGGACGAGAGGACAGAGGACAGAGGACAGAGAGAGGACAGGAGGACAGAGGACAGAGGACAGAGAGACAGAGGACAGAGGACAGAGGACAGAGACGATAGAGGACGAGAGGACAGAGGACGAGAGGACGAGAGGACGAGGACAGAGGACAGAGGACAGAGGACAGAGGACGAGAGGACAGAGGACAGAGGACGAGAGGACGAGAGGACGAGAGACAGAGGACGAGAGGACAGAGGGACAGAGGGACAAGGACAAGGAGAGAAACAGAAAGAGGCGTTAGAAGAGATCATAACAGCCAGAACTAAACCAGGACTAAACCAGAACTAAACCAGGACTGAACCAGGACTGAACCAGGACTAAACCAGAACTGAACCAGGACTGAACCAGAACTGAACCAGAACTGAACCAGGACTAAACCAGAACTAAACCAGGACTAAACCAGAACTGAACCAGGACTGACCCAGGACTGAACCAGAACTAAACCAGGACTGAACCAGGACTAAACCAGAACTGAACCAGGACTAAACCAGAACTGAACCAGGACTGACCCAGGACTGAACCAGAACTAAACCAGGACTGAACCAGAACTAAACCAGGACTGAACCAGAACTGAACCAGAACTGAACCAGGACTGACCCAGGACTGAACCAGAACTAAACCAGGACTGAACCAGGACTAAACCAGAACTGAACCAGGACTAAACCAGAACTGAACCAGGACTGACCCAGGACTGAACCAGAACTAAACCAGGACTGAACCAGAACTAAACCAGGACTGAACCAGAACTGAACCAGAACTGAAAACCAGACTGACCCAGGACTGAAACAGAACTAAACCAGGACTGAACCAGGACTAAACCAGAACTGAACCAGGACTAAACCAGAACTGAACCAGGACTGACCCAGGACTGAACCAGAACTAAACCAGGACTGAACCAGAACTGAACCAGAACTGAACCAGGACTGACCCAGGACTGAACCAGAACTAAACCAGGACTGAACCAGGACTGAACCAGGACTGAACCAGGACTGAACCAGGACTAAACCAGGACTAAACCAGGACTGAACCAGGACTGAACCAGGACTGAACCAGGACTGACCTGGTCCACCAGGGGGCCCATGAGAGCCTCTGCTTTCTCGTGGCTCAGGAACTTGTTTGTGTCGTAGAGGCAAATCTTCTGGAGACAATCCAGAACCAACGAGATCAACAGAGAAGACTTCTCCTCCGACTGGAACAACGGAGCTGAGGGACAGAGGAGAGGGTCAGAGGGTCAGAGGGTCAGAGGGTCAGAGGGTCAGAGGGTCAGAAGGTCAGAGGGTCAGAGGGTCAGAGGGTCAGAAGGGTCAGAGGGTCAGAAGGTCAGAAGGTCAGAGAGGGTCAGAGGGTCAGATGTGTTGTTACCCTGGGCGCTCCTCAGGGTCAGAGGGAGAGAGGAGGTCAGAGGAGGTCAGAGGGTCAGAGGTGTTGTTACCTTCAGCGCTCTTTGGGGTCAGCAGGTCACAGAAGAGCGGGAGGAGGTTCCCGGAGAAGAGGACAAACAGCCCCCTGAGCTTCAGAGCCACAGAGTCACAGAGACGCACCAACGTGAGCATCCGGTCGCTCTGCCCACAGGGGGCGCTCCTGCTCCACTCCAGCACCTGCACGGACACGACACACGGAGACAAAACACGGAGACGACACACGGAGACAAAACACGGAGACAGACAAAACACACACGGAGACAAAACACACGGAGACGGGAGACAAACACGGAGACACAAACACACGGAGAGACAAAACACGGACACACGGAGACAAACACGGACACGACACACGGAGACAAAACACGGAGACGGCACACGGAGACGACACACGGAGACAAAACACGGACACGAGACAAAACACAGAGACAAAACACACGGAGACGGACAAAACACAGAGACAAAACACACGGAGACAAAACACGGAGACGAGGAGAGACAAAACAAAACAGGAGACAAACACACACGGAGACAAAACACGGAGACGAAACACGGAGACAAAACACGGACACGACAAAACACGGAGAGACAAACACGGACACGACACACGGACAAAACACGGGAAGAGGAAGAGCAGACGGTTTAAACCTGCTTCATCGTCGTGTGTGAAATGTTGAACCTGTTGAACCTGTTGAACCTGGAGCTGGACCTGGACTCACCTTGAAGAACAAAGGTCTGAAGGAGACTTCAGAAAGCTTCAGGACCAGAGCCACGAAACACTCGATCACTGCTCCCTCCACCACCTGAGCCTCCTGCAGGTCCTCCTGAAACACACACCAAACCAGGTCTAAACCAGGTCTAAACCAGGACTGAACCAGGACTGAACCAGGGCTAAACCAGAACTAAACCAGGACTGAACCAGGACTGAACCAGGACTAAACCAGATCTAAACCAGGACTAAACCAGGACTAAACCAGGACTAAACCGGGTCTAAACCAGGTCTAAACCAGGACTAAACCAGGACTAAACCAGGACTAAACCAGGACTAAACCAGGACTAAACCAGGACTGAAACAGGACTAAACCAGACTGAACTAAACCAGGACTGAACCAGGACTAAACCAGGACTAAACCAGGACTAAACCGGGACTAAACCAGGACTAAACCAGGACTAAACTGGGTCTAAACCAGGACTAAACCAGGACTAAACCAGGACTAAACCAGGACTAAAACTGAGGACTAAACCAGAAACAGGACTGACTGAACAGGACTAAACCAGGACTAAACCAGGACTGAAACAGGACTGAAAACAGGACTAAACCAGGACTAAACCAGGACTAAACCAGGACTGAAACAGGACTAAACCAGGTCTAAACCAGGACTGAAACAGGTCTAAACCAGGACTGAACCAGGTCTAAACCAGGACTGAACCAGGACTAAACGGACCGGGCAGTGGGCCGCTCTGAAGTCCAGCGCCGTCAGGAAGAAGGTGGTGAGCTCTGATTGGTGGAGGCTCAGTTGGTCTCGGTCCATGTGTTTGATGTGCTCCTGCAGGACGCTCATGAGCGCCACCAGCTGCTCCTGAAACGCAAACACCACAGGTTTAAACCAGGTCTGGACCGGGTCTGGACCGGGTCTGGACAAGCGGTACCTTCTGGTCCTGCACCAGTCGGGCGTAGCACTTGGTAACCGTGGGCAACAGGACTCTGGGTGGGACTTTGGTGGCGATGGTGGATCGGAGCGCCGCCAATCGAACGGCGAGGAGCGGCGAGGGGGCGGAGACTTCAGCCAGACGCGAAAGACGACAAACCTGAGACAGAGACAAGGTGAGGGTTCAACTCCTGAGCTTATTGAAGAGGGTTAGGAAAGTTGTAGGAGGTGGGGCAGGTTGTGGTTGTGGTGGTGGGTGCGGGTGTTATGGGTGTGGATGTGGTTGTGGTGGTGGGTGTGGGTTGGTTGTAGGTGTTGTGTTTGTGGTTGCAGTGGTGGGTGCGGGTGTTATGGGTGTGGTTGTGGGTGTGGTGGTTGATTGATTGATTGTATTTATATAGCGCCTTTCAAGATCCCAAAGCGCTTTATTGTTCATTATTCAGTCACTCCACACTCAGTGGTGTAAACTACTACTGTAGCCACAGCTGCCCTGGGGCAGACTGACGGAAGCGAGGCTGCCAATCTGCGCCATCGGGCCCTCCGACCACCACCATCACTCACGCTCACACCACTTTCATACGAGGCAATGAGGGTGAAGTCTCTTGCCTAAGGACACAATGACAGTTTTTTGCCACTGGCGCCCCCCTGCGGTGCGGTGGTGGGTGTTGTGGTTGCGGTGGTGGGTGTGGGTGTTGTGGTTGCGGTGGTGGGTGTGGGTGTTGTGGGTGTGGTTGTGATTGTGCGTGTGGTTGTGATTGTGGGTGTGGTTGCGGTGGTGGGTGTGGGTGTGGTTGTGGGTGTGATTGTGGGTGTGGTTGTTGTGGGTGTGGTTGTGATTGTGGGTGTGGTTGTGGGTGTTGTGGGTGCAGGTGTTGTGGGTGTGGTTGTGGGTGTTGTGGGTGTGGTTGTGATTGTGGGTGTTGTGGGTGCGGGTGTTGTGGGTGTGGTTGCGGTTGTGGGTGCGGGTGTTGTGGGTGTGGTTGTGGGTGTTGCGGGTGTGGTTGTGGGTGTGGTTGCGGGTGCAGTTGTGAGTGCGGGTGTTGTGGGTGTGGTTGTGATTGTGGGTGTGGGTGTTGTGGGTGCGGGTGTTGTGGGTGTGGTTGCGGGTGTGGTTGTTGGTGTTGTGGGTGTGGTTGTGGGTGTTGCGGGTGTGGTTGTGGGTGTTGTGGGTGTGGTTGCGGGTGCAGTTGTGAGTGCGGGTGTTGTGGGTGTGGTTGTGGTTGCGGGTGCGGTTGTGGGTGCGGTTGTTGGTGCGGGTGTTGTGGGTGTTGTGGGTGTGGTTGCGGGTGCGGGTGTGGTTGCGGGTGCAGTTGTTGGTGCGGGTGTTGTGGGTGTTGTGGGTGTGGTTGCGGGTGCGGTTGTTGGTGCGGGTGCGGTTGCTCACCTGAGCCGTGATGTCGTGCAGGTACGGGGAGGTGAAGTTGTGGAGCGTGTCGGTGATGCGGTGGAGGGCGGTGACGGCGCTCAGGAGGAACAGCTCGGAGGACGGGCGGTCGCTCCTGTCGCTCAGACAGGTGAGCACGGCAGGGACCAGGCTGGGGACAGAGAAAGAGTCAGATGCCCTCCCAGACTCTTACCTGCTGCAGGTTTCACACGTGTGGATGTACAGCAGTAGTATTTACAGTAGTAGTAGTAGTAACAGTAACAGTAGTAGTAGTAGTAACAGTAACAGTAGTAGTAGTAGTAGTAGTAATAGTAGTATTAGTAGTAGTAACAGTAATAGTAATTACAGTAGTAGTAGTAGTAGAAGTAACAGTTGTAATTACAGTAGTAGTAATAGTAGTAGTAGTAGTAGTAGTAGTAGTAGTAGCAGTAGTAGCAGTAGTAGTAGTAGTAGTAGTAGTAGTAGTAGTAGTAGTAGTAGTAGTAGTAGTAGTAGAGTAGTAGCAGTAGTAGCAGTAGTAGTAGTAGCAGTAGTAGCAGTAGTAGTAGTAGTAGTAGTAGCAGTAGTAGCAGTAGTAGCAGTAGTAGTAGTAGTAGTAGTAGTAGTAGTAGTAGTAGTAGTAGTAGTAGTAGTAGTAGTAGTAGCAGTAGCAGTAATATTTCAAGTCCACATATTTGCAGTACCTGGGCAGGTGGGGGATGGCGAGCGCCTTTGTTGCCGTGACGCACTCGGCGACGCACTGCAGCGCCGTCGCCGTGACGTTACGGTCCTCCTCCTCCGTCGCCGTGACGACGCCCACGGCGACCCGCATCACGGCGACGAACGACTGCGGCGCCGACGAACCGAAGAGACGACACAGGAGCTTCAGCGAGAACAGAGCGGCCTGACGGTTCACCGACGGGTCACCAGACGTCACGCAGGTCAAGAGGTCAGGGGTCAGCGAGAGGAGGAGAGACACCTGCGGGGGAGAGAGGTCAGAGGTCAGGGGTCAGAGACAGGAGGAGAGACAACTGCGGGGACAGAGAGGTCAGGAGGTCAGGGGTCAGCAGGTCAAAGGTCAGGAGGTCAGAGAGAGGAGGAGAGACAACTGCGGGGAGAGAGAGGTAAGAGGTCAGGGGGTCAGGGGTCAGCAGGTCAGGGGTCAGGAGGTCAGGGAGAGGGGGACGTACCTGTTGTGGGCTCCAGTTGGTTTTGTGCTGCAGTTTGTTGTTGAGAAGGTCCAGAGCTTTTCGTCGAACGTTCGAGACTTCATTTCCCATCAGCCCCCGAGTCACAGCGATGAACGAATCAGAGGGCAGCAGAGCGTGTACCTGACCACCAAACAAACAAACAAACAAACAAACAAACAAACAAACAAACAAACAAACAAACACGCTTTAGACCTGGTTTAGTCCTGCTTTAGTCTTGTTTCAGTCCCGGTCCAGTCCCGGTCCAGTCCAGTCCAGTCCCGGTCCAGTCCAGGTCCCGGTCCCAGACCCGGTCCAGTCCAGTCCCGGTCCAGTCCCAGTCCCGGTCCAGTCCCAGTCCCGGTCCAGTCCAGTCTCAGTCCAGTCCAGTCCCGGTCCAGTCCAGTCCCGGTCCAGTCCAGTCCCGGTCCGGTCCGGTCCAGTCCCGGTCCAGTCCGGTCCGGTCCGGTCCAGTCCCGTCCGGTCCAGTCCCGGTCCGGTCCGGTCCAGTCCAGTCCCGGTCCGGTCCAGTCCCGGTCCAGTCCAGGTCCGGTCCAGTCCAGGTCCAGTCCAGGTCCCGGTCCAGTCCAGGTCCGGTCCAGTCCAGTCCAGGTCCAGTCCAGGTCCAGTCCCACCTTGTCCAGGAGCTCGTAGGTCTTGTTGAGCAGAACTCTCCAGAACTTGGCCGTGGGTTTGTCTGAGTTCAGCTCCACACACTGAGCCACAGAGTGAAGGAAACACAAGATCTGCTCCAGGAGCCTGAACGCACAAAACACACACATGAACACACACGAACGCACAAAACACACACATGAACACACAAACACACACATGAACACACACGAACGCACAAAACACACACATGAACACACACAACACACACATGAACACACACGAACACACAAAACACACACATGAACACACACGAACACACACACATGAACACACACGAACGCACAAAACACACACATGAACACACACGAACACACACACATGAACACACAAACGAACGCACAAAACACACACATGAACACACACGAACACACACAAAACACACACATGAACACACACGAACGCACAAAACACACACATGAACACACACAAACACACACACATGAACACACAAACACACACATGAACACACAAAACACACACATCAACACACACAAACACACACATGAACGCACAAAACACACACACATGAACAACACACACAAACACACACACACACACACATGAACACACACATGAACGATGAAGCTCATGGAGGGCAGCAGCAGTTAAGCTCAGTTTATGTTTGTGTCAAATCGTCAGCGTCGCCTCGAGTCTCCTCAGAGCGTCTGCGTCGACCTGCACCTCCCAAACGTTCTAACTACACGTCAAAGCGACGCAGGCGACAACGACAGCGACAACGACGAGGCGACGGCGACGCAGAGTCGACGCAAAAATATAAAAATGACCTTTACAGCGTCCGTGAGCGTCACAGCAACCAAAGAGATCCTCCTCCCTCACCTCTGCTGCTCCTGCTGGAGACTCAGGTCCACCGCTCCGACTCCGCCCTCGACTCCGCCCTCGACTCCGCCCTCGACTCCGCCCTCGACTCCGCCCTCGACTCCGCCCTCACCTCGCTCCAGCTCCACGACCTGAAACACACAACGGCGTCTTACATCAAACACACACACACAGACACACACAGAGACACACACACACAGACACAGACACACACAGACACACACAGACACAGACACAGACACACACACAGACACACACAGAGACACACACAGACACACACACACACACACACACACACACACACACAGACACACACACAGACACACACACACACACACACACACACACACACACAGACACACACACACACACAGACACACACACACACACAGCACACACACAGACACACACACACACACACACACACACAGACACACACACACACACACACACACACACACAGACACACACACACACAGACACACACACACACACACAGACACACACACACACACACACACAGACACACACACACACACACACAGACACACACACAGTCATGTGTCCGTGTCCTGGTTCGAACCTTGTGGATGAATCGTGCTGATCCGAGCAGGTGAGCGCTGAAGGTCACGCTCAGGTATTTAAAATGGCGGAGTTCTTTGGCGCTGTGCTCTTCCACGTTGAAGATCAGATCCTCCATCTTCTCCTGATGCTCCTCAGGCTTCAGCGCGGCTCTGCGGCCCGACGGACGCTTCGCTGGAGCTGAACACAAACACAACCTCAGAAGATCAACCTCAGAAGATCAACCTCAGAAGAACAACCTCAGAAGATCAACCTCAGAAGATCAACCTCAGAAGAACACTCAAAGATCCCTAAGAGATCAATCAAGAAGATCAACCTTCAGAAGATCAACCTCAGAAGATCAACCTCAGAAGATCAACCTCAGAAGATCAACCTCAGAAGAACCTCAGAAGATCAACCTCAGAAGATCAACCTCAGAAGATCAACCTCAGAAGATCAACCTCAGAAGATCAACCTCAGAAGAACAACCTCAGAAGATCAACCTCAGAAGATCAACCTCAGAAGATCAACCTCAGAAGATCAACCTCAGAAGATCAACCTCAGAAGATCAACCTCAGAAGATCAACCTCAGAAGATCAACCTCAGAAGAACAACCTCAGAAGATCAACCTCAGAAGATCAACCTCAGAAGAACAACCTCAGAAGATCAACCTCAGAAGATCAACCTGACGTTTGCTGCAGGAGCTTCACGACTCCACACAGTGAAGCTGACCTGGGAGAGGAAAGTCTGAGACCACGTTCGGGTTCTGACCTTGGTCTTTGTCGTGAGGAAGCTGCTGCAGGAAAACCAGGACCTGGACCAAGGCCTGGATCTGGACTTTAACCTCGAACTCACAGAACACAGAGACCCACAAGTCCCACTCCTGCTGCTGGGCCGATTCCTGAGGAGAACACACGGTTAGAACCAGGACCAGAACCAGAACCGGACCTGGACTGGACCTGGAGCGGACCAGGACTTAAGCTCAAATGAACTAGGACTTAATTAGGTCTAAACACGGCCTGGTGAGCAGTAGTATTTGCAGTAGTATTTGCAGTAGTAGTAGTGTGTACCTTCTCCTCTGCAGTAGTACTCGCAGTAGTACTCGCAACAGTAGTAGAGTGTTGCTTGCAGAGCAGACAGAGCAGTGCCCACAGATAGCGCTCGGGGCCGACGGTGTTGAGGAGCTGCAGGAGGACCGGGACCCTGCGGTGCTCGGGCACGTGAGGAAGAGCGTGAACGAACACCTGCATGATCCTCGTGACCACGGCGCGCACCTGAGGAGAGTCCAGACCCGAGTCCTGACCCGAGCCCTGAGCCTGAGGACACAGACCAGAACCACACTGAACCAGAGACCAGAACCAGAGACCAGGACTAAACCAGGACTAGACCAGGACTAGAACAGGACTAGAACAGGACTAGAGCAGGACTAGAGCAGGACTAGAGCAGGACTAGAATAGGACTAGAGCAGGACTAGAGCAGGACTAGAGCAGGACTAGAGCAGGACTAGACCAGGACTAAACCAGGACTAGAGCAGGACTAGAGCAGGACTAGAGCAGGACTAGACCAGGACTAAACCAGGACTAGAGCAGGACTAGAGCAGGACTAAACCAGGACTAGAGCAGGACTAGAGCAGGACTAGAGCAGGACTAGAGCAGGACTAAACCAGGACTAGAGCAGGACTAAACAGACAGGACTAAACCAGGACTAGAGCAGGACTAGAGCAGGACTAAACCAGGACTAGAGCAGGACCTAGAGCAGGACTAGAGAGGATAGCTAGACTAGAGCAGGACTAGAGCAGGACTAGAGCAGGACTAGACAGGACTAGAGCAGGACTAGAGCAGGACTAGAAGGACTAGAGCAGGACTAGAGCTAGAGCAGGACTAGAGGCAGGACTAGACAGGACTTAGGATAGAACCAGGACTAGACTAGGACTAGAGGACTAGAGCAGGACTAAACAGGACAGAGCAGGACTAGAGCAGGACTAGAGCTAGAACTAGACTAGAGCAGACTAAGCCAGGACTAGAGCAGGACTAGAAAACCAGGACTAGAGCAGGACTAGCAGAGGACTAAACCAGGACTAGGAGGACTAGAACTAGAGCAGACTAGAGCAGGACTAGAGCAGGACTAGACTAGAGCAGGACTAGAGCAGGACTAGAGCAGGACTAGACCAAGGACTAAACCAGGACTAGAACCAGGACTAGAGTAGGACTAGAGCAGGACTAGAGCAGGACTAAACCAGGACTAGAGCAGGACTAAACTAAAGAGCAGGACTAGAGCAGGACTAGAGAGGACTAGAGCAGGACTAGAAGCAGACAAGAGCAGGACTAAACCAGAGGACTAGAGGGACTACCAGGACTAGAGCCAGGACTAGAGCAAGACTAAACCAAGGACTAGAGCAGGACTAGAGCAGGACTAGAATAGACAGGACTAGAGGACTAGAAGGGACTAGAGGACTAGAGAGGACTAGACCAGGACTAGGATAGAACAGGACTAGACCAGCAGGACTAGAGCAGGACTAGAGCAGGACTAGAGCAGGACTAGAGGACTAGAGCAGGACTAGGCAGGACTAAAAGGACTAGAGTAGGACTAGACAGCTAGAGCAGGACTAGAGCTAGGACTAGACTAGCAGGACTAGAGCAGGACTAGAGCAGGACTAGAGCAGGACTAGAGCAGGACTAGAGCAGGACTAGAGTAGGACTAGAGCAGGACTAGAGCAGGACTAAGCCAGGACTAAGAGCAGGACTAAACCAGGACTAGAGCAGGACGAGACCAGGACTAGAGCAGGACTAGAGCAGGACTAGAGCAGGACTAGAGCAGGACTAGACCAGGACTAAACCAGGACTAGAGCAGGACTAAACCAGGACTAGACCAGGGCTAGACCAGGACTAGACCAGGACTAGAGCAGGACTAGAGCAGGACTAAACCAGGACTAGAGCAGGACTAGAGCAGGACTAGAATAGGACTAGAGCAGGACTAGAATAGGACCAGAGCAGGACTAGAGCAGGACTAAACCAGGACTAGAGCAGGACTAGAATAGGACTAGAGCAGGACTAGAGCAGGACTACAGCAGGACTAGAGCAGGACTAGAGCAGGACTAGAGCAGGACTAAACCAGGACTAGAGTAGGACAGACAGACTTAGAGCAGGACTAGAGCAGGACTAGAGACAGGCTAGAGCATAGAGCAGGACTAGAGCAGGACTAGAGCTAAGCAGGACTAGAGCAGACTACCAGGACTAGAGCAGGACTAGAGCAGGACTAGAGCAGGACTAGAGCAGGACTAACCAGGACTAGAGCAGGACTAAACAGGACTAGAGAGGACTAGGATAGCAGGACTAGAGCAGGACTAAACCAGGACTAAGCAGGACTAGAGCAGGACTAGAATAGGACTAGAGCAGACTAGAATAGGCACTAGAGCAGGACAGAGACTAGAACAGGACTAGAGCAGGACTAGAGCAGGACTAGAGCCAGGACTAAACCAGGACTAGACCAGGACTAGAGTAGGACTAGAGCAGGACTAGACGCAGGACTAGAACCAGGACTAGAGCAGGGACTAGAGCAGGACTAGACCAGGACACTAGAGCAGGACTAAACCAGGACTAGAGCAGGACTAAACCAGACTAGAGCAGGACTAGAGCAGGACTAAACCAGGACTAGAGTAGGACTAGAGCAGGACTAGAGCAGGACTAGAGCAGGACTAGAGCAGGACTGGACTAAACAGGACTAGAGCAGGACTAGAGCAGGACTAGAGCAGGACTAGAGCAGGACTAGACCAGGACTAAACCAGGACTAGACCAGGACTAGAGTAGGACTAGAGCAGGACTAGAGCAGGACTAAACCAGGACTAGAGCAGGACTAAACCAGGACTAGAGCAGGACTAAGAGCAGGACTAGAGCAGGACTAGGCAGGACTAGAGCAGGACTAGAGCAGGACTAGAGCAAGACTAGAGCAGGACTAAACCAGGACTAGAGCAGGACTAAACCAGGACTAGAGCAGGACTAGAGCAGGACTAGAGCAAGACTAAACCAGGACTAGACCAGGACTAAACCAGGACTAGAGCAGGACTAGAAGAGGACAGAAGGACTAGAGCAGGACTAAACCAGGACTAAACCAGGACTAGAAGACTAGACTAGAGCAGGAGAGCTAGACTAGAGCAGGACTAGAGCAGGCACTAGAGCAGGACTAGCAGGACTAGAGCAGGACTAGAGCAGACTAGAGCAGGACTAGAGCAGGACTAGAGCAGGACTAGAAGGACTAGAGCAGGACTAGAGCAGGACTAGAGCAGGACTAGGAGACTAAGCAGGACTAAACCAGCTAGAGCAGGACTAGAGCAGGACTAAAGACTAGACCAGGCACTAGAGCAGACAGGACTAGACCAGGACTAGAGCAGGACTAGAGCAGGACTAAACCAGGACTAGAGCAGACTAGAGCAGGACTAGAGCAGGACTAGAGCAGGACTAGAGGGACTAGAGCAGGAACTAGAGCAGGACTAGAGCAGGACTAGGAGACTAGAGCAGGACTTAGAGCAGGAGGAACTAAAGACTAGAGCAGGACTAGAGAGCAGGACTAAACCAGGACTAGAGCAGGACTAGGGACTAGAGCAGGACTAGGAGCAGACTAGAAGCAGACTAGACAGGACTAGAGCAGGACTAGGCAGGACTAAGCAGGACTAGAAGCAGGACTAAACCAGGACTAGACAGGACTTAGACAGCTAGACTAGAGCAGGACTAGAGCAGGACTAAGCCAGGACTAGAGAGCAGGACTAGAGCAGGACTAGAAGCCTAGGACTAGAGCAGGACTAGAGCAGACTAGAGAGGACTAGACTATAGGACTAGAGCAGGACTAGAGCAGGACTAGAGCACTAGACAGGACTAGAGCAGGACTAGAGTAGCAGACTAGAGCAGGACTAGAGCAGGACTAGAGCAGGACTAGACAGGACTAGAGCAGGACTAGAGCAGAGCAGACTAGAGCTAGAGCAGACTAGACTAGAGCAGACTAGAGCAGGGACTAGAGGACAGGACTAGAATAGCAGAGACTAGAGCAGACTAGACAGGACTAGAGCAGACTAGACTAGAGCAGACAGAGAGACTAGAGCAGACTAGAGCATAGACTAGACTAGACTAGGAGCAGACTAGAGCAGGACTAGAGCAGGACTAGAGCAGAGACTAGACCAGGACTAGAGCAGGACTAGAGCAGGACTAGAGCAGACTAGAATAGACTAGAGCAGGACTAGCTAAACGGACTAGAGCAGGACTAGAGCAGGACTAGAGCAGGACTAGACTAGAGCAGGACTAAACCAGGACTAGAGCTAGGACTAGAGCAGGACTAGAGCAGGACTAGAGCTAGAGACTAGAGCAGGACTAGACCAGGACTAGACAGGACTAGAGCAGGACTAGACTAGCAGACTAGAGCAGGAGGACTAGAGCAGGACTAGAGCAGGACTAGAGCAGGACTAGAGCAGGACTAGAGCAGGACTAGAGCAAGACTAGAGCACTAGAGCAGGGCCAGACCCAGCCCAGTACCTTGATGATGGCGGGGATGACCATCTGAACAGTTTTCTCGATGACTCTGAAGCTGTAGGCGTTGTCCAACCTCAAGATGTTTGCTCCCATGAACGTGAAGATCGGCATGATGTTCAACAAGACCTTCTCCTGAGGAAACACCAGAACAATGAGACAGAGGAGCTGACAGGAGCGGGCAGGAGCTGACAGGAGCGGGCAGGAGCAGCAGGAGCAGACAGGAGCGGGCAGGAGCGGGCAGGAGCAGACAGACAGTGAGCGGCAGGAGCGGAGCAGGAGCGGGCAGGAGCAGGAGCAGGGAGCAGACAGGAGCACGTACCGGGTAGAGGGGGGCCAAGGTGCTGAGCAGGAGCAGGGCCTGATGATGAGTCTGGGACATTTCAGACGATCGGATGCACTGAACCACCAGCTCCACCGAGAGGCGCTCTGGGTCCAACACGTCTGAGACACAAGCACACAGTCAGACCAGAACCAGAACCAGGACCAGGACCAGAACCAGGACCAGAACCAGGACCAGAACCAGACCAGGACCAGAACCAGGAACCAGAACCAGGACCAGAACCAGGACCAGACCAGGACCAGGACCAGAACCAGGACCAGAACCCAACCCAAGAACTGAACTCAACTTTGCAGTAGTATTTGTAATATTTGTAGTAGTATTTTCAGTATTATCAGTATTTGCAGTCGTATTTGTAGTAGTATTCAGAGTATTTGCAGTAGTACTTGTACCTGAGGGGATGGGCGCACCGTCTGGGGACAGTTTTCTGCACATGCTCAGTAGGACGCTGAGCAGCAGTTGTTTGGTGTACTCCACCGACGCCTGCTCCTCCTCACACGCCTCCAGACGCCTGAAACAGAACCGGGTCAGGACCAGGTCAGGAACGGGTCAGGACCGGGTCAGGACCGGGTCAGGACCGGGTCAGGACCGGGTCAGGACCGGGTCAGGACCAGGACTAGAGCAGGATTAAATCTAAAGTGTGTGTGTTGTGACCTCTGGAGGAGGGAGCAGAGTGTGGGGATCAGGGCCTGGGGGCGACTCAGTTTCTTCTTGTGCTGCAGAAGCTCCAGGATCAGAGTGACTCTGTGCCACGACACAGCGCCACCTACAGACGACACATCTCCACTGTCCACCACCTTTTGACTGGAGACACAATCAATGCAAACATTTAAATCTGAGATTATAAATGTGTGACCTGTACACACACACACACACACACACACACACACACTCTTCTTTGGTCCCTGTCGTTGTGTTTCTTTTACATCAGTGTTTCCCAAACTTTTTTTCTGAGGATTCATAATTTAAGTGTGACGAAGCTTCATGACCCAAGTCCACAGACGTGATTCATAAATCACAAACTAAAGTTGTTTTTTTCATTATTGAACATTATAAGGATATTTTATTGTGACTGATCGATTATTTTTACTCAAGTTTAAACGATGAAAAACTGTTTGAAGCAGAAATAAAAAGATCCAGAAGTCGCCTGTTTGGACTTTAAATGTAGAACTTTTCTTTTTCTTTTCAACTTTCAACTGAACCAGAAACACTGGAAAAAACAGTGTGTAGAACCGTACATGACAGACCCACGTGCAGGTCGTGACGAGGAGACCCACCTGAGGGTCGCGACCCACACTTTGGGAAACACTGTTATAAACTCACTGAGTGACTTGTTCACGTCAGTGTTCTTCACTCTGTAAGAGCACGACAGTAACAGCACATGTCCCCACACACAGTCCAGTCCAGTCCAGTCCGGTCCAGTCTGGTTCAATCCAGTTAAGTCCAGTCCAGAGTTTCCTCACCTCTTGGACTTGAGTTTGCTGCGTCTCGTCTGTTGAACTGAAACTGGAACTGAGGGTTTTTCAGGAGGAAAGAGTTCAGACGCCACGAGGCCAGAGTCTACAGACAACTACACAACACACACACACACACACACACACACACACACACACACACACACACACACACACACACACACACACACACACACACACACACACACACACAAGTTACAGTGAGACAACAGGAAATATGAAGCCTCCTGAATCACACAAACTGACTCCAGTGAACTTAAGTCATGTTCTAATGTTGTGTTGTTGTGTTATTGTTGTGTTATTGTTGTGTTGTTGTTGTGTTATTGTTGTGTTGTTGTTATTGTGTTATTGTTGTTGTTGTTGTATTGTGTTGTTGTTGTGTTGTTTGTGTTGTTGTGTTGTTTTGTTGTTGTTGTATTGTTGTGTTTATTGTTGTTGTGTTGTGTTGTTGTGTTGTTGTTGTTGTTGTTGTGTTGTTGTTATTGTTGTGTTGTTGTGTTATTGTTGTGTTGTTGTTGTGTTATTTGTTGTGTTGTTGTTGTGTTGTTGTTATTGTTGTGTTGTTGTGGTTTGTTGTGTTGTTGTTGTGATTGTTGTTGTGTGTTGTTGTGTTTGTTTGTTGTTGTTGTTGTTGTGTTATTGTGTTGTTGTTGTTGTGTTGTTGTTGTTTGTTTGTGTTGTGTTGTTGTTGTTGTTTATCTGTTGTGTTGTTGTTGAGTGTGTTGTTGTTTGTTATTGTGTTGTTTGTGTTGTTGTTTGTTGTGTTGTTGTGTGTTGTTGTGTTATGTTGTTGTTGTTTGTTGTTGTTGTGTTGTTGTGTTATTGTTGTGTTGTTGTGTTAATGTTGTTGTTGTGTTATTATTGTTGTTGTGTTGTTGTTGTGTTGTTGTTGTGTTATTGTTGTGTTGTTGTGTTATTGTTGTGTTGTGTTATTGTTGTGTGTTGTTGTTTGTGTATTGTTTGTGTTGTGTTGTGTTATTGTTGTGTTGTTGTGTTGTTGTTGTGTTGTTGTTGTTGTTGTATTGTGTTGTTGCTGTGTTGTTGTTGTATTGTGTTATTGTTGTGTTGTTGTTGTGTTGTTGTTGTTGTTATTGTTGTGTTGTTGTTGTGTTGTTGTTCCTGGTCACACTCAGAGCTGGAGTTGTGTTTGTTTGTTTATTCTGATTTTTTTTACATCTCCAAAACTCCAAACACTCTGTTCCACCTTGTGATGTCATCAAGTGAACAGCTCCCTTTGCCTTTAGTTCAGTCGAGATCAAAACTCCACGACTGAAATGATCCAGAAGATTCTAGTGAAGAGTTTAAAAACACAGTGGAGCACTTCCTGTATCACCACATGATGACATCACAAGGTGGAACAGAGTGTTTTCAGTTTGAGAGAAGAACTCAGAACACCTGCAGCGTGTGTGTGTAGTTGTGTATGTGTGTGTGTATAGTTGTGTGTGTGTGTGTAGTGTGTGTGTGTGTGTGTGTGTGTGTGTGTGTGTAGTTGTGTGTGTGTGTGTAGTTGTGTGTGTGTGTGTGTGTGTGTGTGTGTGTGTGTGTGTGTAGTGTGTGTGTGTGTGTGTGTGTGTGTGTGTGTGTTGTGTGTAGTTGTGTGTGTGTGTGTAGTGTGTGTGTGTGTGTGTTGTGTGTGTGTGTATTGTGTGTGTGTGTATGTGTGTGTGTGTGTGTGTATGTGTGTGTGTGTGTGTGTGTGTGTGTGTGTGTGTGTGTGTGTGTGTGTGTGTAGTTGTGTGTGTGCGTGTAGTGTGTGTGTGTGTGTGTGTGTGTGTGTGTGTGTGTGTGTGTGTGTTGTGTGTGTAGTTGTGTGTGTGTAGTTGTGTGTGTGTGTGTGTAGTTGTGTGTGTGTGTGTGTAGTTGTGTGTGTGTGTGTGTGTGTGTGTGTGTGTGTGTGTGTGTGTGTGTGTGTGTGTGTGTGTATGTGTGTGTAGTTGTGTGTGTGTGTAGTTGTGTGTGTGTGTGTGTGTAGTTGTGTGTGTGTGTGTGTGTGTAGTTGTGTGTGTGTGTGTGTGTGTGAGTTGTGTGTGTGTGTGTGTGTGTGTGTAGTGTGTGTGTGTGTGTGTGTGTGTAGTTGTGTGTGTGTGTGTGTGTGTGTGTGTGTGTAGTTGTGTGTGTGTGTGTGTAGTTGTGTGTGTGTGTGTGTGTGTGTGTGTGTGTGTGTGTGTGTGTGAGTTGTGTGTGTGTGTGTGTGTGTGTATGTTGTGTGTGTGTGTAGTTGTGTGTGTGTGTGTGTGTAGTTGTGTGTGTGTGTAGTGTGTGTGTGTGTGTGTGTGTGTGTAGTTGTGTGTGTGTGTGTGTGTGTGTAGTTGTGTGTGTGTGTGTAGTTGTGTGTGTGTGTGTGTGTGTGTAGTTGTGTGTGTGTGTGTAGTTGTGTGTGTGTGTGTGTGTGTGTGTGTGTGTGTGTAGTTGTGCGTTCGTACTTGTTTAAACACACTACAGACGGCGTTGGCGCTCGCGGCGGTCGGTTCGTTTTCTAACACGTCAAACATGGCCGACAGGACGAGACGCTGCACCTCCTCACTCAGAGACGAGAAGAAAGCACCAGAAATCTACACAGACACACTCAGGTCACTCAGGTCAGAGTCAGAGTCAGAGTCAGGTCAGAGTCAGAGTCAGGGTCAGAGTCAGAGTCAGTCAGAGTCAGAGTCAGAGTCAGAGTCAGAGTCAGAGTCAGGTCAGAGTCAGGTCAGAGTCAGGGTCAGAGTCAGGTCAGGTCAGAGTCAGAGTCAGAGTCAGAGTCAGAGTCAGGTCAGAGTCAGGTCAGAGTCAGGTCAGGTTTACTGAGGGGATATATATTTCTATCTCCATGTTTCTTTTATTGTTTAATTTTTTTATTTTTTTTTGCCCAAAACTACAGATTAAAAGGTTTCGTAAGTTTCTCTCCTCCCTTTGCTCTCAGTGCTGAGTCCCTCCCCCTTCAGAGCGTCGCACTAATGAATCTCCTGCACACACATCAGGTTTGTCATGTTGTTGTTGTGTTCAGTTTTGTGTCATGTTTTTGTGGTTTTATGGAGGATTGTGGTGTGGACGCCTGGGGGGCGGAGCCTCGTACAGACTCGTACTGTGGGAGCATGGGGGGCGAAGTCTTGTACTGCTAACAGGGCCCAGGAGAGATCACTAGATGACTCAAACATGGAGGACTCTCAAACCTCTTCAAGTTTGTGATGAGAAACGAGGGAAAGAGACAAAAGTACAGTTTACAGAAACGCCCTCTTTAAGTCCTGGTTCAGTCCTGGTTCCTGGTTCAGTCCTGGTTCAGTCCTGGTTCAGTCCTGGTTTAGATACATAACATTAGACATTGTTCTTGTACCTGTTCCAGTGCAGACACTTGGACACTCGGGGCCTGGTCCTGGTTCTGGTCCGGTCTGGTCTTTATGGCTCGGAGGAACAGGTCCCTGCAGTGAGCGTCTGTGACCAGCAGAGGCGCCGCCGCGGGGCTGAACTTCCCCAGGAGCAGAGCGAGGAGCCGGGCCTCGTCCAGGAGCCGTGACGGGGCATCCGGGCTAACCGGGGCCAACAACCGATCCAGAGCGGGCAGCAGGACTGACAGCACCTCCTGAAAGAGACCAGATCCAGACCTGGTTTAGATCTGGTTTAGTCCGAGTTCAGTCCCGTTTTAGTCCCAGTTCAGTCCAGGTTCAGTCCAGGTTCAGTCCAGGTTCAGTCCTATTTTAGTCATGTTTTAGTCCCGTTTTGGACCCGGTCTGGTTTAGTCCCGGTCCGGTTTAGTCCTGGTCTCGGTCAGTACCTGCCCGTGGACGTGCTGCAGCGCCCTCAGGAGGCTGCAGGCGGCGCTGGAGGGGCAGCATTCTGATTGGACGCTCTGGAGCAGCGTCCTGAAGGCGGAGCTCACGTCCCGTTTGTGGGCGGAGTCTTGGTACAGCGCCCCCAGCGATTGGCTCAGGTAACTGGGGTCCGCCTCCAGCTCCTCCCCCGACCTCAGCAGCTGCGACGTGATTGGCCCGAACGGAGACGAGGCAGCTCTTGATAGGCTCCTGAGCACGACAAGCCCCGCCCTCCTGACCTCACGCAGCGGCGACGACAGAACGACCAGAACGCTCGCCAAGACTACGAGACAAGAACTCAACCAGGACTCAACGAGAACTCAACCAGGACTCAACCAGGACTCAACCAGGACTCAACCGGGACTAAAACAGGACTGAACCAGGTCTAAACTAAGGACTAAACTAAGGACTAAACTAAGATCTAAACCAGGTCTAAACCAGGACTAAAACAGAACTCAAACAGGACTAAACTAAGAACTAAACCAGGACTAAACCAGGACTAAACAAGGACTAAACTAAGGACTAAACCAGGACTAAACTAAGGACTAAACCAGGACTAAACCAGGTCTAAACCAGGACTAAACTAAGGACTAAAACAGGACTAAACTAAGGACTAAACCAGGACTAAACTAAGGACTAAACCAGGACTCACCGGGCGTTTTCAGGATCACTTCCTGTAGTTGTTTGGGGTTCTGTTTCTCCAGGAGGGCGGCGCCCATGAGCAGCGCCTGCAGCTGAAGCACCGCCCCCAGACGCATCTGGCCCCGCCCCTCCACCTGGTCGCTGTGGAGACAGCCGCTCCAGACCAGCGACAGGAAACGGAAGACGAGCAGCGGAGAGTCCAGGTGCACCTGAAACCGTCACAAAAATATTACACCTCCAGACCAGGTCCCTCAGGTCCCTCAGGTCCCTCAGGTCCTGGAGGATGGGGAGCGGGGTGTGGATCTGGGGGAGGGGCCTGTACCTTTAAGAGGAGCTTGAGCAGAGGTCTGTACTGCGCTGTGATTGGTCCGTCCGACGCTCCGCCCATCAGCAGAGAAAACACCTGAGCGAGCAGCTGCAGGTAACAACAGGTGTTTGTGTCCAGACGCTCGGGGTTCCACCACTCCTCCTCTGAACGCACAACACAACACACAACATCAGTACACACACAAAACACACAACATCAGTACACACACAAAACACACAACATCAGTACACGCACAAAACACACAACATCAGTACACACACAAAACACACAACATGTTTAAAACACACATGTTGTGATGTTTGTGTCGTCAGTGTTTGTGATTTCATCAAGTTGTTTGTTGTTCTTGATCGATTCTGTTACACACAACCTCCGGATCTGAGCCTGAACCCAGACCCAGACCTGGTTCTGATCCGGGTCTGGTTCTGGGTCTGGGTCTGGACCTGTGGTGTTACCTTTGAAGACCTGGTCTGGACTCTTGAGTTCCTGGATGAACTGGGCCAGAACCGAGACCAGGACCAGACTGAACTCCAGCTGTCCGTCACTCCCCCGCAGGTACAGAGCCAGCCAATCAGAGAAGAGGGGGGTGGGACCAAGGGCCGGGACGCTCACGGGCTCCTGAAACCACAGAACCGGGTCAGAACCCGGTCTAAAACCGGACCTAAAACCGGGCCTAAAACCGTGTCTCAAATAGGTCTAATTCAAGTCTAAACCAGGTCTAGACCGGGTCAGGACCGGGTCAGGACGGGGTCAGGACCGGGTCAGGACGGGGTCAGGACCGGGTCAGGACCGGGCGTCCCGTGTCTGACCTGGCTGAGGCGGGCGTCCTGCAGGTGGCGCTGGATGACGTTGTGGAGGCGTTGCGCCGTCAGCAGGTGGTGAGTGTCGCTCAGATTCTTCAGACCCAAGACCAGAGTCTGGAGCAGGACCAGGAGCGGAGTCCGGTCTGGACCAGAACCGGACTCAGAGAGGAGCTCCACACGAGAGCAGAGGGCGTCCATCTGCAGGGCGGGGTCAAAGGACAAAGATCAAAGGTCACAGGTCAAAGGTCACAGGTCACAGGTCACAGCAGGAGAGCTGGAGCAGAGACTCACCGTGTGTCGTCGGCTGAACGTGTCCATGTTCTGGAGGTTCCTGCTCAGAGTCGAGACCAGAGTCTGGACCAGGACCAAGATCTGGTCTGGACCCTGGTCTGGACCGGACCCCAGCGCCTCCTGCAGGTCTGAGAGAGAAAAGATCTTTAAACTCAAACAAGAGAATCTCAATGTGTCAGGTACAGGGAGAGCACCTGTCACACACAGGGAGAGCACCTGTCACACACGGGGAGAGCACCTGTCACACACAGGGAGAGCACCTGTCACACACAGGGAGAGCACCTGTCACACGGGGAGAGCACCTGTGTCACACACGGGGAGAGCGCCTGTCACACACGGGGAGAGCACCTGTCACACACGGGGAGAGCACCTGTCGTACCTGCGGCCCACCCGGCGGTGAGCAGGTGCTGTTGGACGACTGGACTCTGGGACAGACTCAGACTGAGTTTAAACGACACTGAGTCTCTGGTTCCTGACGGGACGACGAGGGGGAGGAGCCTGTAGAAGAGCCGCTCGTGTGTGGCGGACTGCCCCGGGGCGGGCGCGGCGGCGCCGGCGGGCATGGACAGGAGACGCACGGCCTCAGACAGCACGGGACACCTGCAGGACGACAGAGGAATTACACCAGAGCGTCTCAAACTGTGGGACGCGTCACTAAAAACAATTCCCTCAAATTCACTCTGAAAGAAACAACAACACCGACAACAAAACACCCCTAACCCCGGGGCCCGGGGCCCGGGGCCCACAGGAGATCAGGACACTGACCAGTCCTGGGAGTGACTCTCTTGAGCTCTGAGCAGCAGAGACACGAGAGACGAGACGACGTCCTCAGGGTCCAGACGCTCCAACAACAACTGCACACAGAAGAAGAAGAAGAAGAAGAAGAAGAAGAAGAAGAAGAAAAGAAGAAGAAGAAACAAGAAGAAAGAAGAAAGTTGAAGAAGAAGAAGAAAGAAGAGAGAAGAAGAAAGAAGAAGAAGGAAGAAGAAGAAGAAGAAGAAAGAAGAAGAGAAGAAGAAGAAAGAAGAAGAAGAAAGAAGAAAGAAGAAGAAAGAAGAAGAAAGAAGAAAGAAGAAGAAGAAAGAAGAAGAAGAAAGAAGAAGAAGAAGAAGAAGAAGAAGAAGAAAGAAGAAGAAGAAGAAGAAAGAAGAAGAAGAAGAAGAAGAAGAAGAAGAAGAAGAAGAAGAAGAAGAAAAAGAAGAAAGAAGAAAGAAAGAAGAAGAAGAAGAAGAAGAAGAAGAAAGAAGAAGAAAAAGAAGAAGAAGAAGAAGAAGAAGAAGAAGAAGAAGAAGAAAGAAGAAAGAAGAAGAGTTATTTAAAACACTTGTGATATTTTAATTCGCACAAAATCAACACCAGAAAACAACACTGAAACAAATGTGTGTTTTTAAGATTCTCACTGTGAGAGTGAAATGCAGTATTTGTCAGATCCTGTAGTAGTAGTAGTAGAGTGTGTATAAGTACTGCAGTACTGCAGTATTTGTCAGACCTGTAGTAGTAGTAGAGTGTGTATAAGTACTGCAGTATTTGTCAGACCTGTAGTAGTAGTAGAGTGTGTACAAGTACTGCAGTACTGCAGTATTTGTCAGACCTGTAGTTGTAGTAGTAGTAGAGTGTGTATAAGTACTGCAGTACTGCAGTATTTGTCAGACCTGTAGTTGTAGTAGTAGAGTGTGTATAAGTACTGCAGTATGTGTCAGACCTGTAGTAGTAGTAGAGTGTGTATAAGTACTGCAGTACTGCAGTATTTGTCAGACCTGTAGTAGTAGTAGTAGAGTGTGTATAAGTACTGCAGTATTTGTCAGACCTGTAGTTGTAGTAGTAGAGTGTGTATAAGTACTGCAGTATTTGTCAGACCTGTAGTTGTAGTAGTAGAGTGTATATAAGTACTGCAGTATTTGTCAGACCTGTAGTTGTAGTAGTAGAGTGTGTATAAGTACTGCAGTATTTGTCAGACCTGTAGTTGTAGTAGTAGAGTGTGTATAAGTACTGCAGTATTTGTCAGACCTGTAGTAGTAGTAGTGTGTATAAGTACTGCAGTATTTGTCAGACTGTAGTTGTAGTAGTAGTTGTATATAAGTACAGTATTTGTCAGACCTGTAGTTGTAGTAGTAGAGTGTGTATAAATACTGCAGTATTTGTCAGACCTGTAGTATTTCCAGAGCCGCAGAAACGACTGGGGCCTCGTCGTCATGGAGACGATCAAACACTGAAGACTCCAGGAAACTGTGATCCACCGACGCCTCCTGAACCAACAACAGTTACACAACACAACATCATCACACACGAGTCAGAACCTGCTCAGGTCAGTGTGGGTCAGAGGGTCAGAGGTCAGGGGTTAGATGATCAGGGGTCAGGGGTCAGGGTCAGAGGGTCAGGGGTCAGATGATCAGGGGTCAGAGGGTCAGGGGTCAGAGGGTCAGGGGTCAGAGGGTCAGGGGTCAGAGGGTCAGGGGTCAGGGGTCAGGGGTCAGGGGTCAGGGGTCAGAGGGTCAGGGGTCAGAGGGTCAGAGGTCAGGGGTTAGATGGTCAGGGGTTAGAGGGTCAGGGGTCAGAGGGGTCAGGGGTCAGGGGTACCTCTCCGCTGGTGATGATGTCTTTGAGTTTGTTCAGAGCCATGACTCTGATCGACGCCTGAGGATGATTCAGACTCAGAAGAAGAGACGAGTCCAAGTCCCCGACGACCTGAAGCCAGAACAAACGCACAAACACACACACAAATACACACAAACAAACGCAAACACACACACACAAACACACACACACACACACACACAAAACACACACAACACACACACACACACAATACACAACACAAACACACAAACGCACAAACACACACACACAAATACACACAAACACACACACAAATACACACAAACAAACACACAAACACACACACAAATACACACAAACGCACAAACACACACACAAATACACACAAACACACACACAAATACACACAAACAAACGCACAAACACACACACAAACACACACACAAACACACACAAACGCACAAACACACACACAACGCACACACACACACACAAATACACACAAACGCACAAACACACACACAAATACACACAAACGCACAAATACACACAAACGCACAAATACACACACAAATACACACAAACGCACAAATACACACAAACGCACAAACACACAAATACACAAACGCACAAATACACACACAAACAAACGCACAAACACACACACAAATACACACACAAACGCACAAACACACACAAATACACACAAACAAACGCACAAACACACACACAAATACACACACAAACACACACAATACACACAAACGCACAAACACACAACACACACAAACACACACACAAATACACACACACACAAACGCACAAACACACACACAAACACACACAGAAAAAAACACACAAATAAAGTGTGAGAACAAATGAAGTGAGTCTCTGTAGTAAAAACTCTAAACCACAGTGTGAAAAAGCAGAGACGCTGTGATTGGTGCAGCTGGTGCAGAGACAAACACACATCAGCGTCACATCAGTTTGGACAAAGAGGAAACGTGGAAACTGGAACTGTCCAAGACTCGTCCAAGACTCGTCCAAGACTCGTCCAAGACTCGTCCAAGACTCGTCCAAGACTCGTCCAAGACTCAACTTACTCTTCTGATCATCAAGAAAACATCTGACTTTTTTTCTGGACTTGTTTTCTGGACTCATGTTCAGTTTACCTGCGACTGACTTTAGCCGACACCACACACTGTCCTACTGTCCTAGTGTCCTAGTGTCCCACTGTCCCACTGTCCTACTGTCCTACTGTCCCTGTCCCACTGTCCCGCTGTCCCGCTGTCCCACTGTCCCGCTGTCCCGCTGTCCCGCTGTCCCGCTGTCCCGCTGTCCTGTCCCGCTGTCCTACTGTCCCACTGTCCCACTGTCCTACTGTCCTACTGTCCCACTGTCCTACTGTCCCGCTGTCCCGCTGTCCCGCTGTGCTACTGTCCCACTGTCCTACTGTCCTTGTGCCCTTCTGTCCTTGTGTCCCACTATCCATGTGTCCTACTGTCCCACTGTCCCACTGTCCTACTGTCCCACTGTCCCACTGTCCCACTGTCCCACTGTCCTACTGTCCCACTGTCCACTGTCCCACTGTCCCACTGTCCCACTGTCCCACTGTCCCACTGTCCCACTGTCCCACTGTCCACTGTCCACTGTCCCACTGTCCCACTGTCCCACTGTCCCACTGTCCTACTGTCCTACTGTCCCACTGTCCCACTGTCCCACTGTCCCACTGTCCTACTGTCCTTGTGCCCTTCTGTCCTTGTGTCCCACTATCCATGTGTCCTACTGTCCTTTTGCCCTTCTGTCCTTGTGTCCTACTGTCCTTATGCCCTTCTATCCTTGTGCCCTTCTGTCCTTGTATCCTACTGTCCTTGTGCCCTTCTGTCCTTGTATCCTACTGTCCTTGTGCCCTTCTGTCCTTGTATCCTATTGTCCTTGTATCCTATTGTCCTTGTGCCCTTCTGTCCTTGTATCCTATTGTCCTTGTATCCTATTGTCCTTGTGCCCTTCTGTCCTCGTGCCCTTCTGTCCTTGTGTCCCACTATCCTTGTGTCCTTGTGCCCTACTGTCCTCGTGCCCTTCTGTCCTCGTGCCCTTCTGTCCTCGTGCCCTTCTGTCCTCGTGCCCTTCTGTCCTTGTATCCTACTGCAGTGAGTCCTTGTGTCCTCGTGTCCTCGTGTCCCTGCAGTACCTGGAACTTCCCGCTGGTGGCCGACAGAGACAGGAGTTGGTGGAACAGAGGCTTCTGGTCGTCGCTCAGGTCAGAGACACGAGACGAGAGAATTCTGTCCACAGACGAGTTATACCTGCACCAAAACACACGAGACTCTGGTCAGAGTCAGGTCGGACCCGGACGTGTCCGGACCCGGGTCGGACCCGGACGTGGACAGAGTTCTGACGGCGTCGGGTTCTGGGATGATACTGACCTGGACTCGAGCAGACGCAGCACTGGGAGCACACGACGGTTCAAGTCCTCCAGGTCGTCCGCACAGAGTCCAGACTGAGACAGGTACAGGTCCACCAGGAGACTGAAGACACAGAGACGGAGACAGAGTGAGACAGAAGCTCCGTGTGTCTCTCGTGTGATTCTTGTGAGTTTGAGTTCGTACCTGGTCAGGCTGAGCTGGAGGTCAGAGGTCAGAGGGACACGTGTGAGGAGGTTCTGCAGGAGCTCAGCAGAAGAACTCGCCTCAACAGAGTCACCTGAGGAACAAGAGACACGTGAGGAACCAGAGACACGTGAGGAACAAGAGACACGTGAGGAACCAGAGACACGTGAGGAACCAGAGACACGTGAGGAACAAGAGACACGTGAGGAACCAGAGACACCAGAGACACGTGAGGAACCAGAGACACGTGAGGAACCAGAGACACGTGAGGAACCAGAGTCACCTGAGGAACCAGAGACACGTGAGGAACCAGAGACACGTGAGGAACAAGAGACACGTGAGGAACAAGAGACACGTGAAGAACCAGAGACACGTGAAGAACCAGAGACACGTGAAGAACAAGAGACACGTGAAGAACAAGAGACACGTGAAGAACCAGAGACACGTGAAGAACCCTAACCCTAACCTCTATGAAGTTTTTTTTAATTCTTTAGACCTCCAGACCCCGCCCCTTCCTCCAGACCCCACCCCTCCTCCAGACCCCGCCCCTTCCCCCAGACCCCGCCCCCTCCTCCAGACCACACCCCCTCCTCAGACCCCACCCCCTCCTCCAGACCCCGCCCCTCCTCCAGACCCCGCCCCTCTTCAGGCCCCTCCCCTCATACCTGTGCTGAAGGTGCGGTTGAGGAGGTGCGGCAGCAGGTGGCGCAGCAGTGGAGACACGTCATGAGTCTGACACATCGACTCCAGGCAAGAAACCAGATCTGAGACCGACGCCAGACGAGACAAAGACCTGAAGAAGAACCGGACCAGAGTTAGACCTCTTCTAGTCCTGGTTCAGTCCTGGTCCAGTCCTGGTTCAGTCCTGGTTCAGTCCTGGTTTAGTTCTTACTTGTGAGTAGGTTCAGCGTGGTCCTGGTTCTGGAGCAGGACTATCAGAGCCCCCAGACCTTCTCGGACCAGGACTTGGTCTTTGAGGGACCTGCAGAGGACCGAGAACAGAGACTGGACCAAGACCTTCTCCATCACGACCTTCACCGAGAGCTGACACAGGATCATGAGGGACGACGCTCGGAAGTCCTGAAGAGACGAGCGCAGACCCTGAGGAGAGACACCGAGGTCAGACCGGGACTGGAACGGGACCGGGACCGGGACTGGACCGGGACCGGGACTGGACCGGGACCGGGACCTGGACCAGGACCTGGACCGGGATCGTGGACAGTACCTTCTGCACGTGTGGGAGGAGTTTGGTGATGATGGCGTCTGTGATCTTTTCCGCTGAGTCGAGCGCCGAGACGATTGTCGAGGCGAAAAACGAGAAAACCACTCTGAGCTGAGACGCACCACCTCCAGGACACGACGAGAACGCCTACACACACACACACACACACACACACACACACACACACACACACACACACACACACACACACACACACACACACACACACACACACACACACACACACACACACACACACACACACACACACACACACACACACATACACACACACACACACACACACACACACACACACACACACACACACATACACACACACACACACACACACACACACACACACACACACACACACACACACACACACACACACACACACACACACACACACACATAACACACACACACACACACATACACACACACACACACACACACACATACACACACACACACACACACACACACACACACAACACACACACACACACACACACACACACACACACACACACACACACACACACAACACACACACACACACACACACACACACACACACACATAACACACACACACACACATAACACACACACACACACACACACACACACACACACACACACACACACACACACACACACACACACATAACACACACACACACACACACACACACACATAACACACACACACACACACACACACATAACACACACACACACACACACACACACACACACATAACACACGATTAAATATAACACACAACAACAACACAAACACACACCAGGAAATATCAAACACAACACGACACACAAACAGCTGCTCCTGTTTGTCTGTAAACACTTTTATGAACTTTTTTAATTCTTTAGAAATTTATCAAAACATTTAGTACCCGGTCTAAACCTGGTCTAAACCTGGTCTAAACTAAACCTGGTCTAAACCCGATCTAAACTAAACCTGATCTAAACCCGGTCTAAAGCCAATCTAAACTAAACCTGGTCTAAACCCGGTCTAAAGCCAATCTAAACTAAACCCGGTCTAAACCTGGTCTGGTCTAGACCTGGTCTCTGACCTGGATGGAGTTGGAGACCATGTTGCAGATAAAGTCCATGAAGCTCAGGTCTTTGTGACAGTGAGTGACCAGAGTGAGTCTGGACAGAGGGACACCGGGCTTCTGCAAAACACACAAACACACATTATACAAGATTATACAAGAGACAGCGCCACCTGCTGGACGCTACAGGACAGTGTCCCCCCGCTGTCCCCCGCTGTCCCCTGTCCCCGTGTCCCGTGTCCCCCCGCTGTCCCCGCTGTCCCTGTCCCCGTGTCCCCCCCTGTCCCCTGTCCCTGTCCCCTCGTGTCCCCCGCTGTCCCCCGCTGTCGTGTCCCCCCGCTGTCCCCTCGTGTCCCCGTGTCCCCGCTGTCCCCCGCTGTCCCCTCGTGTCCCCCCGCTGTCCCTGTCCTCGTGTCCCCGCTGTCCCCTCCCCCCTCGCTGTCCCCGTGTCCCCCTGTCCCTCGTGTCCCCCGCTGTCCCCTCGCTGTCCCCCCCGCTGTCCCCCGTGTCCCGCCCTGTCCCCCGCTGTCCCCCGCTGTGTCCCCTGCTGTCCCCTCGCCCCCCTGTCCCCCTCGCTGTCCCCCCGCTGTCCCCTCGTGTCCCCGCTGTCCCCTGTCCCCCTGTCCCCCGCTGTCCCCCGTGTCCCCTGTCCCCTCGTGTCCCCTCGCTGTCCCCTCGTGTCCCCTCGCTGTCCCCTCGTGTCCCCGCTGTCCCTCGTGTCCCCTCGCTGTCCCCCTCGTGTCCCCCTCGTGTCCCCCCTGCTGTCCCCGCTGTCGTGTCCCCCCCGTGTCCCCCGTGTCCCCCGCTGTCCCCTCGTGTCCCCCCTCGTGTCCCCCGCTGTCCCCGCTGTCCCCGTGTCCCCCTCGTGTCCCCTCGTGTCCCCCCGCTGTCCCCTTGCTGTCCCCCCGCTGTCCCCGCTGTCCCCCGCTGTCCCCCGCTGTCCCCTCGTGTCCCCCCGCTGTCCCCCCTCGTGTCCCCCCGTGTCCCCTGTCCCCCTGTCCCCTCGTGTCCCCTTCGTGTCCCCGCTGTCCCTCGTGTCCCCCGCTGTCCCCTCGTGTCCCCCGCTGTCCCTCGTGTCCCTCGTGTCCCCGCTGCTGTCCCCGCTGTCCCCTCGTGTCCCCCGCTGTCCCCTCGTCCCCTCGTGTCCCCGCTGTCCCTCGTGTCCCCCGTGTCCCCGTGTCCCCGCTGTCCCCCTCGTGTCCCCCGTGTCCCCTCGTGTCCCCTGCTGTCCCCCGCTGTCCCTCGTGTCCCTCGTGTCCCCGTGTCCCCTCGTGTCCCCCCGCTCCCCTCGTCCCTCGTGTCCCTCGTGTCCCCGCTGTCCCCTCGTGTCCCCTCGTGTCCCCTCGTGTCCCCTCGTGTCCCCTCTGTCCCCTCGTGTCCCCCGCCTGTCCCCTCGTGTCCCCGCCGTCCCTCGTGTCCCCCGCTGTCCCCTGTGTCCCTCTCGTGTCCCCTCGAGTCTCCTCGTGTCCCCTCGTGTCCCCTCGTGTCCCCCGCTGTCCCCTCGTGTCCCTCGCTGTCCCTCGTGTCCCCTCGTGTCCCCTCGTGTCCCCTCGTCCCTGTCCCCTCGTGTGTCCCCTCGTGTCTCGTGTCCCCCGTGTCCCCTCTGTCCCCCCGCTGTCCCCTCGCTGTCCCCCTCGTCCCTCGTGTCCCCTCGTGTCCCCTCGTGTCCCCCTGTCGTGTCCCCTCGTGTCCCCTCGTGTCCCCTCGTGTCCCCTCGTGTCCCCTCGTGTCCCCTCGTGTCCCCTCGTGTCCCCTCGTGTCCCCTCGTGTCCCGCTCTGTCCCCTCGTGTCCCCTCGTGTCCCCTGTCCCCTGTCCCTCGTGTCCCTCGTGTCCCTCGTGTCCCCTCGTGTCCCCTCGTGTCCCCTCGTGTCCCCTCTGTCCCCTCGTGTCCCCCTCTGTCCCTCGTGTCCCCCTCTGTCCCTCCGTGTCCCCGTGTCCCCCGCTGTCCCCCGCTGTCCCCCTGTCCCCCGTGTCCCCCCTCTGTCCCCTCGTGTCCCCCGCTGTCCCCTCGTGTCCCCCCGCTGTCCCCTCGTGTCCCCCCGCTGTCCCCTCGTGTCCCCCGCTGTCCCCTCGTGTCCCCCCGCTGTCCCCCCCCCTGTCCGTGTCCCCTCGTGTCCCTGTCGTGTCCCCCCGCTGTCCCCCCCCTCCCCTCGTGTCCCCCCGCGTCCGTGTCCCTCGTGTCCCCTGTCCCCTCGTGTCCCCTCCCCCCTCGCTGTCCCCTCGTGTCCCCGCTGTCCCCTCGTGTCCCCTGTCCGCTGTCCCTCGTGTCCCCTGTCCCCTCGTGTCCCCGTGTCCCCTCGTGTCCCCCCGCTGTCCCCTCGTGTCTCCTCGTGTCCCCCGCCCTGTCCCCTGTCCCTCGTGTCCCCCCGCTGTCCCCTCGTGTCCCCTGTCGTGTCCCCTGTCCCCTCGTGTCCCCCCGTGTCCCCCCGTGTCCCTCGTGTCCCCCGTGTCCCCTCGTGTCCCCTCGCTGTCCCCCCGCTGTCCCCTCGTGTCCCCTCGTCCCCTCGTGTCCCCCGCTGTCCCCTCGTGTCCCCTCGTGTCCCCCGTGTCCCCTCTGTCCCCTCGTGTCCCCGTGTCCCCGTGTCCCCTCGTGTCCCCTCGTGTCCCCTCGTGTCCCCTCGTGTCCCCTCGCTGTCCCCTGTCCCCCTGTCCCCTCGTCCCCCGTGTCCCCTCGTGTCCCCCGTGTCCCCTCGTGTCCCCTCGTGTCCCCTCGTGTCCCCTCCCGTGTCCCCTCGTGTCCCCTCTGTCCCCTCGTGTCCCCTCGTGTCCCCTCGTGTCCCCTCGTGTCCCCTCGTGTCCCCTCGTGTCCCCTCGTGTCCCCTCGTGTCCCCTCGTGTCCCCTCGTGTCCCCTCGTGTCCCCCGTGTCCCCTCGTGTCCCCTCGTGTCCCCTCGTGTCCCCTCGTGTCCCCTCGTGTCCCCTCGTGTCCCCCGTGTCCCTCGTGTCCCTCGTGTCCCCGTGTCCCTCGTGTCCCTCGTGTCCCCTCTGTCCCCTCGTGTCCCCTCGTGTCCCCTCGTGTCCCTCCCCTGTCCCCTCGTGTCCCCTCGTGTCCCCTCGTGTCCCCTCGTGTCCCCTCGTGTCCCCTCGTGTCCCCTCGTGTCCCGCTCTGTACCTGCAGACAGTGGAGCCAGTGCCACCTGTTGGTCGGTTCTTGTATTTGCAGAAGTTGAATCACTCGGACGAAAACTTTGGAGTCGTGAAACGGAAGAACACAGGCCACAAGACTCTCCACGTTATACAGGTGAATGTGGAACCTGCACACAACAATGCACATGTCACACAACACACACACACACACACACACACACACACACACACACACACACACACACACACACACACACGTCACACACACACACACACACACACACACACACACACACACAACACACACACACACACACACACAACACACACACACACACACACACACAACACACACACACACACACACACACACACACACACACACACACACACACACACACACACACACAACACACACACACACACACACACACACACACACAACACACACACACACACACACACACACACACACACACACACACACACACACACACACACACACACACACACACACACACACACACACACACACACACACACACACACACACACACACACACACACACACACACACACACACACACACACACACACACACACACACACACACACACACAACACACACACACACACACACACACACACACACACACACACACACACACACACACACACACACACACACACACACACACACACACACACACACACACACACACACAACACACACACACACACACACACACACACACACACACACACACACACACACACACACACACACACACACACACACACACACACACACACACACACACACACACACACACACACACACGTCACACACACACACACACACACACACACACACACACGTCACACAACACACACACACGTCACACACACACACACACACACACACACACACACACACGTCACACAACACACACACACACAACACAACACACAGCATGACACACTACCACACTGATGCTAACTGCAGGCCCTGTTCTGTCTGAACATCAACTCAGATTTTACTCTGAACTTTGGTTTAATGTTTTTTTTTTGTATTTTATTTGTTTAAATTTCCTCCAGACTTTGTTTGTGTAAATTTCCAGTGGAAGTTTCTAAAAGACGAGTTTCTCAAACTGTGGCTCCAAAAAAGGCGCACAGAGTTTAAGTTTGTTTGACTTATTTTAATTTTAAATAAACATTTATCAGATAAAATGGAAATTAATTTATAAAAACGTATTTATATGAGTCAGAATTTTCCCAAACATTGTTCCACCACGACACATTTATATAAACACACATTTATTTATATAAAAACACAAGATTTACAGTTTTCTAGAATAAACTGTATTTTATATAAAGTGTGAGTGTCTGAGCACAAACAGTTTTTTCAGACGATCTTTGTGCAGTGTTTTGTTCGCTCTCGTGTGTGCGCTTGTGTTCTCATGGTGACTGCTGAACTTTCCCCCATAGACCTGCATGTATAACCCCCCCCCCCCCCCCGTGTGACAGAGTTTTACCGGTGGATGAGCCACTCCAGACACTTGTGGGCGGGTCGGAGGAGGAAGTACGGCGACACGCGCCTCAGAAACGCCTCGATGTCTCCGTCCAGTTTGGCGTTGACGGTTTTGGTCTGGACGCTTCGCTCCAGAGTCACGGACGCGTCGCTGAACAGAGTCTGATGAAACTCAGAGAGCGACGGTTCGATGCCCGACAGCTCCTCCAGCCCCGTGCAGCCTGACGAAGACCAGAAGAAGACGAGACGAAGACGAGACAAAGACGAGACAAAGACGAGACAAAGACGAGACAACATGAGCAGTGAGGAGTTGAACAGACGAGACTCGGGCACACGGGGCCACAGCTCGTCTCTGTGGTGTTTGGGTGATATAGGCTTGTGGGCGGAGCCTCGTACAGACTCGTACTGATAACCATAAAGGCCCGTTCAGACCAGAGCATCAAGGCGTCCTGTTTATGTGTAAAGTCCATGTGGACGTCCGGGGCGTCGGCGCCAGAAGTTGAAAAAGCTGAACTTTTCGTGTCAGATTCGCCGCGTCGACCAATCAGGGACGAGTATCCAGAGACGCAGAGACTTTATTATCAGGAAGAAAAACCCCAGAACCAGAACCACAAACATGAACAGAGTCTGAATATGAACAACACAAACACCGAGCGGATCACCAGGACCAGACCAGAACTAGACCAGAACCACATCAGAACTAGACCAGGACTAGACCAGGACTAGACCAGGACCACACCAGAACTAGACCAGAACCACACCAGAACTAGACCAGGACTAGACCAGGACTAGACCAGAACCACACCAGAACTAGACCAGGACTAGACCAGAACCACACCAGGACCACACCAGGACCACACCAGAACTAGACCAGGACTAGATCAGGACCACACCAGAACTAGACCAGGACTAGACCAGGACTAGACCAGGACTAGACCAGGACTAGACCTAGACCAGAACTAGACCAGAACTAGACCAGGACCACACCAGAACTAGACCAGAACTAGACCAGGACTAGACCAGGACTAGACCAGGACCACACCAGAACTAGACCAGGACTAGACCAGGACCACACCAGAACTAGACCAGGACTAGACCAGAACTAGACCAGAACTAGACCAGAACTAGACCAGGACCACACCAGAACTAGACCAGGACTAGACCAGGACCAAACCAGAACTAGACCAGGACTAGACCAGAACTAGACCAGAACTAGACCAGGACCACACCAGAACTAGACCAGAACTAGACCAGGACTAGACCAGGACTAGACCAGGACTAGACCAGGACCACACCAGAACTAGACCAGAACTAGACCAGGACTAGACCAGGACTAGACCAGGACTAGACCAGGACCACACCAGAACTAGACCAGGACTAGACCAGGACCACACCAGAACTAGACCAGGACTAGACCAGAACTAGACCAGGACCACACCAGAACTAGACCAGGACTAGACCAGGACTAGACCAGGACCACACCAGAACTAGACCAGGACTAGACCAGGACCACACCAGAACTAGACCAGGACTAGACCAGGACTAGACCAGAACTAGACCAGGACTAGACCAGGACTAGACCAGAACTAGACCAGGACCACACCAGAACTAGACCAGAACTAGACCAGGACCACACCAGAACTAGACCAGAACTAGACCAGGACCACACCAGAACTAGACCAGAACTAGACCAGGACCACACCAGAACTAGACCAGGACCACACCAGAACTAGACCAGGACTAGACCAGGACCACACCAGAACTAGACCAGGACTAGACCAGGACTAGACCAGACCAGACTAGACCGGAACTAGACCGGAACTAGACCGGAACTAGACCGGGACCGGGACTAGACCAGACCGGGACTAGACCAGACCGGGACAAGACCAGATCGGGACTAGACCGAGACTAGACCAGACCGGGACTAGACCAGACCGGGACAAGACCAGATCGGGACTAGACCAGATCGGGACTAGACCAGACTGGGACTAGACTGGGACTAGACCAGACTGGGACTAGACCAGACCGGGACTAGACCAGACCGGGACAAGACCAGATCGGGACTAGACCAGATCGGGACTAGACCAGACTGGGACTAGACTAGACTGGGACTAGACTGGGACTAGACTGGGACTAGACCAGACCGGGACTAGACCAGACCGGGACTAGACCAGACCGGGACTAGACCAGACCGGGACTAGACCAGACCGGGACTAGACCAGACCGGGACTAGACTGGGACTAGACCAGACTGGGACTAGACCAGACCGGGACTAGACCAGACCGGGACTAGACTAGACTGGGACTAGACCAGACTGGGACTAGACTAGACTGGGACTAGACCAGACTGGGACTAGACCAGACTGGGACTAGACCAGACTGGGACTAGACCGGGACTAGACCAGACCGGGACTAGACTGGGACTAGACTAGACCAGCACTAGACCAGACTGATCTTGTCTTTAGTATAAATATCTTCACGCTGCAGTTGTTGAGGTGATTTGCTTTTATGTGAAGGTTTGATGTCATAAAATCACTAAAGTTTCTCTCAGTTTGGTCTGACATCGTTTCGGGAAAAGTCCGGGACCGGACTCTTGTTTCCAGGGCAACAGACGCACTTCAAGTATTTTTCTCCCGTCGGTTGACGGCGTCAGAGCCGCGTCGGGCGTCTGAACTCAAATGTACAGACTCTAAATAAAGACGTCCAGGAGTTTTTTGACGCTCTGGTCTGAACAGGGCCCGGGACAGATCACTAGATGACTCAGACATGCACGGGAGGGCATCTGGCACGTACCGAGGGCGTGGACGGTGGCGCGGTCGAGCGTCGCCGCCTCTTGAGGGTCGAACAGTAAAGATGAAACATGTTTCCTGCTGAAGAGGTTTGGATCAGTCTGAGGCAGCGCCAAACGCTTCAACTGAAGAGACAGAGACGACATCTCCACCTGCAACACACAACACACACACTGAAACACACAATACACACACACACTGAAACACACAACACACACACTGAAACACACAACACACACAACACAACACAACACACAACAAACACACACACACACACACATGAAACACACAACACACACACACACACACTGAAACACACAACACACACACTGAAACACACAACACACACACACACACTGAAACACACAACACACACAACACACACACACAACAATCAAACACACACAACACGCTTCAACTGAAGAGACAGAGACGACATCTCCACCTGAAACACACAACACACACACTGAAACACACAACACACACAACACACAACACACAACACAACACACACAACACACACACTGAAACACACAACATCCACACACTGAAACACACAATACACACACTGAAACACACACAACACACACTGAAACACACAACACACACTGAAATGTCTGTTGCGCATTTGTTGTGTCTGTGTGTTTTTTGTGCATTTGTTGTGTCTGTGTGTGTTTTTTGTGCGTTTGTTGTGTCTGTGTGTGTTTTTTGTGTGTTTGTTGTGTCGGTGTGTGTTTGTTGTGTCTGTGTGTGTTTTTTGTGCGTGTTGTGTGTGTGTGTTTTTTGTGTGTGTTTTTTGTGCGTTTGTTGTGTCTGTGTGTGTTTGTTGTGTCTGTGTGTGTTTTTTGTGTGTTTGTGTGTCTGTGTGTGTTTTTTTGTGTCTGTGTGTGTTTTTTGTGCGTGTGTTGTGTAGATGTGCAACAATATAAGTGTCACGATACGATATCTTCACGGTCTGAACCTCACGATACGATATTTATTACGATATTGTGGGAAAACTCACGATTAGAGACGAAACAAAATCCAAATCTCTGTACGATATTTTCACGATACACGACCATATTTACTGCGATATTTAGTGCGACATGTTCGACTTTTTCCTCTTCAAATGTCCCGACAGAGAAAAGGACTCAGACTTAAAGGTGTTGGAACTGTTTTTTCTTCTTGTCGTCTGCACTGAATCGGATTTATTGTGACGGTCCACGATATTATTGTGAGAACTTTGACGATACGATATCACCATATTTGGATTGTCGTTCCGTCCCTGCTGCTGCTGCTGCTGCTGTGTTCGTCGTCCGTCTGTTGCTGCTGTTTCACTACGAACCATTTTTACGTTCAGTAGTGTCGGGGAGTAACAGATTACAAGTACCAGAGTTATGTAATCAGAGTACAAATGATGAGTAACTGTATTCAGTTACAGTTACTGTTTCAGTGAGTGGTACTTGGATTACAGTTACTTTGTTGAAATAAATGGATTAAACAGAGGAATTTAACTGTTTTCACATTTTGGGCTAAATCCCCCTTTTTTTTTTTGGTCATTCCACTCATTGCCGGAAACTAAACCAGGTCTAAACCAGGTCTAAACTAGGACTAAACCAGGACTAAACCAGGACTAAACCAGGTCTAAACCAGGACTAAACCAGGACTAAACTAGGACTAAACCAGGACTAAACCAGGTCTAAACTAGATCTAAACCAGGACTAAACCAGGTCTAAACTAAACTAAACCAGGACTAAACCAGGACTAAACCAGGTCTAAACAGGACTAAACCAGGACTAAACTAGGACTAAACCAGACTAAACCAGGTCTAAACTAGATCTAAACCAGGATCTAAACCAGGACTAAACCAGGTCTAAACCAGGACTAAACCAGGTCTAAACAAGGTCTAAACCAGGACTAAACCAGGTCTAAACCAGGTCTAAACCAGGACTAAACCAGGTCTAAACTAAATCTAAACTAGATCTAAACCAGGACTAAACCAGGTCTAAACCAGGACTAAACCAGGACTAAACCAGGTCTAAACTAAATCTAAACTAGATCTAAACCAGGACTAAACCAGGTCTAAACCAGGTCTAAACCAGGTCTAAACTAAATCTAAACTAGATCTAAACCAGGACTAAAACAGGACTAAACTAGATCTAAACCAGGACTAAATCCTGCTGCGCCGACATGTCTCGTCTCCTATCAATAATATTTTTAATTTGGTTCAGTAAAGTTTGGGCTTTTTTATTTTTTTTTATCAGACAAAACTTCTTTTCCTCGTCTTTCAAGTCAATAATCAAGTAATCCAAAGTATTCAGATTACATTACTCACTTTAAGTAATTTAATAGATTCCGTTACAAACTACATTTTGGAGTATGTAATCTGTAATCTGTAGGGGATTACATTTTAAAAGTAACACTCCCAACACGTTCAGGGACAAAACTCAAACACGAGAAAAACAAAACAAAAACACTTTTGTAACGTTTAAAGTTAAATTTGTATCAAACACAAACACGACACGATGATTTAAATGTGTTTTACGTAGACAGAGTGAATACATCGTTTCTCTCTTGGATGAAACACGTTTTAATTATTTTTATTTTTTACGTAAATCTCCTCTGCGCACGAGCCCCAAACACGTTTTAAATCTTTTTTTCAGAACCACAGAGTTTTAAACATGACCCGACACAAAGACAAACTCCACAGCGTCAACAAATACGAAAAAAACACAAATAAAACATAAAAAACATTAAAAACAGAAACACGCACCTTTATTTCGCTGTATTAGAGGTTTGAGAAAATCACGTGTGAAACCCGGAACCACGCTCCGGGAACAGGAAGTGACGCCAAAGCCCACTTCCGGAACAGGAGGATCGATTTCACAATGAAAGAAATGATTCTTGTATTTACACAAAATAAATAAATAGAAAAATAAAATTAATAGATAAATTAATAGACAAATAAAATAAATAGATGTAAAAAATAAAAAGAATAGAAATAAATCGAAAAATAAAAAATAAACAGAACATAAAAAATAAATCTAATAAATAAAAAAGATAAACATCAAAAAATTAAAAGATAGAAAATAAAAAATAAATATAATTTTAAAAAAGATAAAAAATAAAAATGAGCACATAAATAGATAATAAAATAAATATAAACAGAATAGATTACTTCAATTGGACCATGATTTAAACAAACATAATAAATACAATATAATAATTAACAGATAATAGTAATAATATCACATTTGAAGATGATCAAAATCAGACTTTTTGGAAAATAAAAATGTTCTCAGGCTTCCAAGTTTTTTTTAAATATTTTTATATTTTTATTTACAGAAACCCAATCAATGAATCAATAAACTGAATGTTGAATTGCAGTGATTCTTTTGAGTCATGTGTAGAAAATGTGACTTAACTCTGACTTTTAAATGTTTGTCTCTAAAAACTGGAGTGTTTCATTCGGTCGTTGATCATAAATCACTCGTGACATGAACAGTGTTTGTGTTTAAAGGTTTTCACTATTTTATTATAAATGTATTTGACCAAAAATGAAATAAAACCGTTTGAAAACCACATCTTTATTCAAACAAGAGTCACGAACAAAACACACTCATATTTACACTTTAGAAAAACTAAAAGGACTCAGAGTTTAAACGTGTCTCAGCAGCACAAGCTCCAAGTTCCACTTACACGTGTGTCCTGAGACAAACTCGTCCTGACAAACTAAACAAAAGCTGCCATCATCACAGTCCGGGGCCAGTCCTGTCCGGGTTTGGCCCACGGTCCGGCCCACGGTCCAGTCCATGGTCCAGTCCATATTCTAGTCTGAATCTTGCTCCTGGGACTCAGCAGTCTCTTCTGATTCTGCTTCTGGTTCAGTTTCTAGTTTGGTTTCAGGTTCCGTCTCCGGTTCCGTCTCCGGTTCCGTCTCCGGTTCCGTCTCCGGTTCCGTCTCCGGTTCCGTCTCCGGTTCCGTCTGGACCGGGGTGCCGTGGACTCTGAAGCGGTAAATGCAGGTGTACTCGTCGTGACCCCAGTTTGACAAAAACTTCACCAGAATAAACTGAAACGGTTCAGCATTTTCCTCCTGAAACAAAAACGAGAAACATCAGAAAAAAAACAGAACCAAAGAAGAAACAGAGCAGACAGGGGCAGACAGGAGCAGACAGGGGCAGACAGGAGCAGACAGGAGCGGACAGGAGCAGACAGGAGCAGACAGGAGCAGGAGCAGGACAGGAGCAGGACAGGAGCGACAGCAGACAGGAGCAGGACAGGAGCAGACAGGAGGACAGACAGGAGCAGACAGGGGCAGGACAGGAGCAGACAGGGGCAGACAGGAGCAGACAGACAGGGGCAGACAGGAGCAGACAGGAGCAGACAGGGGCAGACAGGAGCAGACAGGAGCAGACAGGAGCAGACTCACAGTGGGGGTGTAGGTCTGTAGAGCTTCTCCGTCCTTGTCGTACTGAAACGTGCCCAGAAGTTTCCCCTCTTCCTCCTCATCATCATCCTCATCCTTCAGGCCCTGAAAAAGATCTGGGTTAAACCAGGTTTAGTCCGAGTCTGGGTCCAGTCCCAGGTCCCAGTCCCAGGTCCAGTCCCAGTCCCCGGTCCAGTCCAGGTCCAGTCCAGGTCCAGTCCCCGGTCCAGTCCCCGGTCCAGTCCAGGTCCAGGTCCAGTCCCAGGTCCGGTCCCAGGTCCGGTCCCAGGTCCAGTCCCAGGTCCAGTCCCGTCCAGGTCCTCACGTAGACGGTGAAGTCCTTGGGGGCGCTGTGGATGGATCCGGTTGGGGACAGGTTCTTGGGGAGATGTTCTAAGGAAAACGCTGAGGGCAAAACCCGAGACGACAGACGCAGAACCAGGATCCCAGAAGAACCACGGAACGGCCAACAGTCCCCGGGCTGAACGTCCGACTGGAACCACAGAACATGCAAAGAACACACACAGAACACACAAAGAACACACAAAGAACACGCAAAGAACACGCAAAGAACACACAAAGAACACACACAGAACACGCAAAGAACACGCAAAGAACACACACAGAACACGCAAAGAACACGCAAAGAAGACGCAAAGAACACACAAAGAACACACAAAGAACACGCAAAGAAAACGCAAAGAACACACAGAACACACAAAGAACACACACAGAACATGCAAAGAACACACACAGAACACACAAAGAACACGCAAGAGAACACACAAGAACACCAAAGAACACACAGAACAACACAAAGAACACGCAAGAACACAAAGAACACACAAAGAACACAAGAACACACAAAGAACACAAAAGAACACGCAAAGAACACACAGAACACACAAAGAACACGCAAAGAACACACACAGAACACAAAGAACACGCAAAGAACACGCAAAGAACACACAAAGAACACAAAGAACACACAAAGAACACGCAAAGAAAACGCAAAGAACACACAGAACACACAAAGAACACACACAGAACATGCAAAGAACACACACAGAACACACAAAGAACACGCAAAGAACACACACAGAACACGCAAAGAACACACAGAACACACAAAGAACACGCAAAGAACACAAAGAACACACAAAGAACACACAGAACACACAAAGAACACACAAAGAACACGCAAAGAACACACAGAACACACAAAGAACACGCAAAGAACACAAAGAACACACAAAGAACACACAGAACACACAAAGAACACGCAAAGAACACAAAGAACACAAAGAACACAAAGAACACACAAAGAACACACAAACAACACACAGAACACAAAGAACACGCAAAGAACACACAGAACACACAAAGAACACACAAAGAACACGCAAAGAACACAAAGAACACACAAAGAACACACAAAGAACACACAGAACACACAAAGAACACACAAACACGCAAAGAACACAAAGAACACACAAAGAACACACAAAGAACACGCAAAGAACAAAGAACACGCAAAGAACATGCACAGTAACACAAAGGAGTACACAGTAGCAGTACACAGTAGTAGTACACAGTAGTACACAGTAGTAGTACACAGTAGGAGTACACAGTACACAGTAGTAGTACACAGGAGGAGTACACAGTAGTACACAGGAGTAGTACACAGTAGTACACAGTAGTACACAGGAGTAGTACACAGTAGTACACAGTAGTAGTACACAGTAGTAGTAGTAGTACACAGTAGAGTAGTACACAGCACAGTAGGTAGTACACAGTACACAGGTAGGTAGTGTACACAGTAGTAGTAACCACAGGGGAAACCCAAACAAACTGAGCAGAGCAACTTTAGTCTCAAACGTCTGAGAACAACGAGACGTCACCACACTGCCCCCTACAGGACACAGAGAGAACAACAACACGTCACCACACTGCCCCCTACAGGACACAGAGAACAACACGTCACCACACTGCCCCCTACAGGACACAGAGAGAACAACACGTCACCACACTGCCCCCTACAGGACACAGAGAGAACAACAACACACCACACTGCCCCTACACACAGAGACAACACTCACACACTGCCCCCTACAGGACAGAGAGAAACAACAACACGTCACCACACTGCCCCCTACAGGACACAGAGAGAACAACAACACGTCACCACACTGCCCCCTACAGGACACAGAGAGAACAACAACACGTCACCACACTGCCCCCTACAGGACACAGAGAGAACAACAACACTGCCCCCTACAGGACACAGAGAGAACAACAACACTGCCCCCTACAGGACACAGAGAGAACAACAACACTGCCCCCTACAGGACACAGAGAGAACAACAACACGTCACACTGCCCCCTACAGGACAGAGAACAACAACACGTCACCACACTGCCCCCTACAGGACACAGAGAGAACAACAACACGTCACACTGCCCCCTACAGGACACAGAGAGAACAACAACACGTCACACAGTTACCTCCAGACTCGAGGGCGTAGTCGGCCAGTCCGGTCCGGTCCTCGGAGAACCTCCTCAGAGTGTTCTGGATCAAACCCTGCACCTCCTGAACACAGGTCAAAGGTCAGGACATCAGAGCAGGGGGACAGGTGCGCGGTTGTGACAGGTGTGCGGTTGTGACAGGTGCGCGGTTGTGACAGGTTGTGACAGGTGCGCGGTTGCGCGGTTGTGACAGGTGCGTGGCTGTGACAGGTGCGTGGCTGTGACAGGTGCGTGGCTGTGACAGGTGCGTGGTTGTGACAGGTGCGTGGCAGGTGTGACAGGTTGTGTGACAGGTGCGTGGCTGTGACAGGTTGTGACAGGTGCGTGGTTGTGACAGGTTGTGACAGGTGTGTGGTTGTGACAGGTGCGTGGTTGTGACAGGTTGTGACAGGTGCGTGGTTGTGACAGGTGCGTGGCTGTGACAGGTTGTGACAGGTGTGTGGCTGTGACAGGTTGTGACAGGTGTGTGGTTGTGACAGGTTGTGACAGGTGTGTGGTGTGACAGGTTGTGACAGGTGTGTGGCTGTGACAGGTTGTGTGACAGGTGTGTGGTTGTGACAGGTGCGTGTGTGACAGGTTGTGACAGGTGTGTGTGACAGGTGCGTGGCTGTGACAGGTTGTGACAGGTGCGTGGTTGTGACAGGTGTGACAGGTGCGTGGTTGTGACAGGTTGTGACAGGTGCGTGGTTGTGACAGGTGCGTGGCTGTGACAGGTTGTGACAGGTGCGTGGTTGTGACAGGTGCGTGGCTGTGACAGATTGTGACAGGTTGTGACAGTGTTGTGACAGGTTGTGACAGGTGCGTGGCAGGTGACAGGTTGCGTGGTTGTGACAGGTTGTGACAGGTGCGTGGTGTGACAGGTGTGACAGTGTGTGACAGGTGCGTGGTTGTGACAGGTTGTGACAGGTGCGGTTGTGACAGGTTGTGACAGGTGCGTGGTTGTGACAGGTTGCGTGTGTGACAGGTTGTGACAGGTGCGTGGTTGTGACAGGTGCGTGTGTGACAGGTGCGTGGCTGTGACAGGTGTGACGTGACAGGTGTGACAGGTGCGTGGTTGTGACAGGTGTGACAGGTGCGTGGCAGGTTGTGACAGGTTGTGACAGGTGCGTGGTTGTGACAGGTGTGACAGGTGCGTGTGTGTGACAGTGTGACGTGGTTGTGACAGGTTGTGACAGGTGTGCGTGGTTGTGACAGGTGCGTGGTTGTGACAGGTGCGTGGTTGTGACAGGTTGTGACAGGTGGTGTGACAGGTGGACAGGTGCGTGTGACAGGTGCGTGTTGTGACAGGTGCGTGGTTGTGACAGGTTGTGTGACAGGTGCGTGGTTGTGACAGGTTGTGACAGGTGCGTGGTTGACAGGTTGTGACAGGTGCGTGGTTGTGACAGTGTGCGTGCTGTGACAGGTGCATGGCTGTGACAGGTGCATGGCTGTGACAGGTTGTGACAGGTGTGTGGCTGTGACAGGTTGTGACAGGTGCGTGGCTGTGACAGGTTGTGACAGGTGCGTGGTTGTGACAGGTGACAGGTTGTGACAGGTGCGTGGTTGTGACAGGTGCGTGGTTGTGACAGGTTGTGACAGGTGCGTGGTTGTGACAGGTGCATGTGTGACAGGTGCGTGGTTGTGACAGGTTGTGACAGGTGCGTGGTTGTGACAGGTTGTGACAGGTGACAGGTGTGCAGGTGGTTGTGACAGGTTGCAGGTGGCTGTGACAGGTGCGTGGTTGTGACAGGTTGTGACAGGTGTGACAGGTGGTTGTGACAGGTTGTGACAGGTGCGTGGCTGTGACAGGTGTGACAGGTGGTTGTGACAGGTGCGTGGCTGTGACAGGTTGTGACAGGTGCGTGGTTGTGACAGGTGCGTGGCTGTGACAGGTTGTGACAGGTGCGTGGCTGTGACAGGTTGTGACAGGTGCGTGGTTGTACCTGGTGTGTGACGCCCCCTGGAGGCTCCTCCTCCTCCGTGTGGACCTGCTCTGTGACCCTGCGCTCCAGAGCAGACAGCGCCCCCTGCAGGCTCTGCTCGCTCACAAACCGCTCCGTCAGAAACTCCACCAGAGACCGGGACACGAACGAGTCCCCCAGAGACGACACCTGAGACCCAAAGACCAGAGACCGGACCTGCTCCTGGACCAAGACCGAGACCTGAGAGGAGAGCCGCAGAGAGACCGGACTCAGGATGACAACCAGACCCTAGGGTCTGAGGATCGTAACCAGACCCCAGGGTCTGAGGATCGTAACCAGACTCCAGACCAGAGGATCTGACCGGGTTTAGATTAAAGATCTAAATTATTATATAATCACAATCACAATCTGAATCGACTCAAATCCCAAAGGCTAAAAATGTAAAGTCCCATAATTTTCTCCACAAACAAAAGTGTCTGTCTCCTCCTGAGTTCATGCTGCATTGTTACGTCAAACGCCTCAAACCAGACGACTTTAAATTAGAGACCGAGGCTTGAAACTTTGGTCTATGTTAAAAAAAGTGAAACTCTGGAGTTTGATGTGAACCTTGGAGCCGCCTCAGCGCTCGCCCCCCCACAGACTTTACATGTAAACCTGAGGTCTGAGGTCTGAGCGCAGCATTAATCTGAACCGGTCCACGGGAGGATGTGAACCGGTCCACGGGAGGATGTGAACCGGTCCACGGGAGGATGTGAACCGGTCTACGAGAGGATGTGAACCGGTCCACGGGAGGATGTGATTGAGTCTGGACTGGATTTGTGGCGTTGCTGACCGTGTCATGTAGATTCTGGAGCAGGTCACATCTTCCTCTGCAGCCGGACAGAGCCTGCACCTCCTCTGTGACCGAGCGCAGCGCCCCCTGGAGGCGGGACAGCTCAGTGACCAGCATGTCCTGAGACTCCGCCCCCGACCTGCGCGCACACACACACACACACACACACACACACACATTTATCTTAAGGGCCTCATTGTCTTTTATAAACCTTCTGTTCCGTCTCTGTTCCGTCTGCACCTGAAGTGACACAAATCTGATTTTGTCCCTCTGCTCGTGTGTCTGATCTTTTAACGACT